GCTTCCAGGCAGGGAACAACGAGGAAAGAGCAGCAAGACAGGAGACTCCCACGGTGCGTGTCTCGGGAGCCAGGCGTGCGGGAGCCAGGCCCGCGGCAGCACACGGCTCAGCCCTCTAAGAGCCGCCCCCCACTGTCCTGTGACACGCTTTCATGGTTCTGAGGGTTTCTGCTTTGTTTTGCTTTGCTTTTGGGAACCAGAGACTGAACTGGGACCTTTATGCTGAGCTACCCCTGGCCCCTTTTTAAGTTTGAGATCGGCTTTCATTAAGTTGCTAAGTTGCCCGGGCTGGGATAAAACTTGTGCCTCTCGGCGTGCTGGGTGTGCACACGTCCCACAGACTCCACTCACACCTGCTCCCTGGGCCCTGGGGCCTCCCCAGAAGGAGGGGAGGCAGAGACCACACCACAGAGTCCTCAGCTTAGGGGGCACCAGGGGGCTGGCCAAATTGGGGGGCCCTTCTGCCCAGAAGCAGGTCCTTGGGGCACGGGGCTAATGCAGCACTAGGGCCCAAGCAGGCCTCTGCCTCCGCTGTGACCGTCCTTAGGTCACTCGGGCAAGCTCTAGCCCAAGGCAGGGTTCACCACAGAGACAGCAAGAGCAGTGACTGAGGAGCCCCAAAAGCCTCGTATCGCCATGCAAGTAACTAGTCTTGGACTGTGAGGAACTACCCATGAAGACTCGCTCGGCCGGGCCATGAAGGAAAAGCCACCCCAGCTCTGTTCACTGACCAGTCTCCTGCTGCCCGCCTGTCTGTCCAGAATGGCCACCTGCATCTTCCCCACATTTGGGAGCTCAGCTCAGGGGCCCACAGCACCCTCAAAGCACCTGCTGGGGAAGGGCGCTGCAGAGGTCACAGTAAGGAACCAGCAGGCTCCCTCTGTCGCCAGCACCTGCGGCTCAGGCCTGCAGAGAAGGCCCAGGGGCCCTAACCCTGGGCAGCAGGATGCCCAGCTGATGGGCAGGGACACAGGTTTTCCTCCACCCATGGCCCTGGCCATGACCTTTCAACTTCACAATGTTGCAAAATCAGACCTCTATACCTGCTGCATTTCCTTTCCCAGCTATCCACGGTCCCTAAATGCCCCAGGACAGCTGGTGGTGGGCTGAGGCCGAGGTCACATCCTGACCAGTGGGTGGCTGCTTGAAGCTGCAGCGGTCTGCAGGTGAGGAGCACATGGTGCTCAGTGCCTGTCCTAGTGAAAACGCCCACAGCTGGTGCCAGGCATCCTCTGTACCCTTCTCAGCTCCACAAAGGCCAGCAGTTAAAAACATAAGCGCTTCTTCTGCACAGCAGCTGCAGCAGCAGCAGCTTCACCCCCGAGTCTCAGTCTGTATCAGACGTGTGATTTCCAAGGGAGGACTCAGAAACACAAAAATTCAGCCCTCACTCGGCAGTCTGAACTCACAGTAGCATAAGTAACTGTGAGGAATGGTATTACACTTGAAACGCAGCCCCTTCCTAGTAGTCCTGCTATTTAACACTCAGGGGCCATGACTGTCACCTGATCCCTCCCACCTGGCACACCACAGCCACTCTCCCAGGACGTCCGGTCCCAGTCCCAGAGCGGCTGCTTGCCTGCCCCTGCCTCCAGCCGGGGTGCACAGAGAACCGCAGCCCAGCATTCAGCCCCAGCAAGGTCCCCAGAGAAGGTGGGGCTGTGGGAACCTTGGGGAGCACCGAGGGACAGAAGCCTTAGGAAAGTCTACTCCAAGTGATGAATCCCATCAACACCAACCACCTCCCAGCATGGAAGGTCTGCGCCCCCCTGGACTGGAGCCCTGAGAGTCCCCACCCTGCCCTGCAGCTGCCCTTGGGGCGCACTTGAAAGCCACCTCGGTCTCAGCTATGGCAGGCCCTTCCCTTCGGGGAGAGCATCACCCCGCCAGCTCAGCCAGGCTGGAAAGGGAGCCCGCCCTCAGGAGTCACAGCGCCTTCGCCAGCTAACAGCTGTGCAACTCCAAGTATGCTTCTGTGCCACAACTTGTGAGACACAGTAGTAAGGAACTCAGGAGCAACAAACTGACAGCCCTAAAAATAACGCGCCAGCCCACCGTGCAGCCCGCCGGCACCCCAGCCGAACGAAGCTTCCTTTTCAGAGAGGAGAGCCAGGAGCCGGGCGCCAGGGTCTGGCAGCCCGCACCCGCCCAGCCCCGGGTCCCTCCAGCCCGCCACCACAGGCTGTGAGGAGCACTGGCCTGCTGTGGAGACAAAGAGGACCCCGGGAGCCTGGGTGTCTGTGTGAGAAGTCACCAACACTCCCACGGTATCCATGGTTACACAGGGGACAAAGAAATCAGCAGTTTCCATCAGCTCCAGGTGCCAATTTTCCAGAGTCAGCTTTAAACAAGAACCATCTGGAACCGAGCCGCAACTGCTGACGGCTCGAGGCCCAGGCCCAGGCCCAGGCCCGCACCTCTCACTCCAGGGCTGCCCTGCCCAGCCCAAGGCCGAAACTAGGCTGCACCTTACACACACGGTCACTGCCTCCTCCTAGAACAGCGACCAGGGAGGTCCACAAGACAGGACGCACGGGGGCAGCAGGAGGCCAGGCCGGGCCTTCCTGCAAAGGCCCCCCAGACATGCCAGAGCCGTACCACCAGGTTCCCAGGAGACAAGGCTTCCAGACGCCAGCCCAAGTAGTTCAATTTCAGTGTCAGGGTTCCAGGAAACTCCCACCTTCTCGATGCTGAACTGAGGGCCATGACCACGCAGCGAAAGGGCCTCAGGGCAAGAGCATCTGCAAAGCCAGCACACCGAGGGGCCCCGGGGGGAGTCCTTGCCTACCACACCATCCGGTGCACCCGCCCTTGCACCACGCTGAAGCCCCCAACCTTCCCACGGCACACCTGCAGGTCAGACCACACCTGCCCGAGAGACCGGCGCAGGTGGCGCCACCTTACGGGACTCACCCTGTGTGCCCAAGGCCCAGCCCCCAGTGAGTCACCCCTGTCACGGCACAGCCCTCCTCTCCTGCCTGCTGTGTCCCGCTCTGGACCCACAGCTGGGGTAGGAAAGCCAATGGGTCTACACCTCAAGAAAAGCAGAGATGGAAACGTCCCCAGGGCTTTTACAGTCCAGGAGTGCACGATCTTCCTCCAAAGCTTCCCCCGCCCCGAAACCAAAAGCATGGTGAAATCAGACTTAATGCTTCCACGAGGCCAAGGAAGACCCAGGGCTGCCTCAGGCTGGGCGACAGCCTAGACCAGGAGCACAGTCCTGGAGAGGGACCCCTCACCCCCAGGAATGAGCCTTGGCTCTCGGCCGGGCAAGGATGTCAAGATGACAGGGTAGTTTGCACCTTTTGAAACCTCACTCTGGTGCACACCTATCTGGTCAGTTTGAAAAACGAAGCCACTAGGAGCAGAGTAACCTGATAAGTATGAGGCCTGGCCAAATGATAAAATGGAAACAAAATTTCCCCAAAAACAAGAACAACCAGCCAAACAGATTTACCAGAGAAAGGCGGCTTCCTACGAGACATGCACTGTTTAAAATCAGAAGGTAGAGTTTGCTTGGAAAAAGGAGGGTGCCAGGCATGAAACCCCTGCTGGGAACCTCCGGGCGGCTGCTGGCCTCCGCTCAGGGGCTGGCTGTACCCCAAAGCCCCCCCCCCACACACACACACGACTGACAAAACGCAGGAGACTCTGTAAGGGGAAGAACCGGGTTATGCACAGGTTACTATGTGCCATGAAAAGGGACCCCGGGGCAGTTTTGTGTATTTCGCAGCAAGGCTACGTAAGAACAACAGTGGCACCACGGACGGGCAGTGTGTCCCAGCTGCCGCGGAGCAAGTGGGAATAGGCAGCCGCCGCGGGGCTCCCACTGGACTGGCTCCCCCGGGGGACGGTCCCTCCAACCCTGCCGGCCACCGCAGCCCTGCAACCTGCGCAGCCGGGGCCCTGGCCTCGGGGGGCCGCGTGCTCACGGACAGTCTCACCCACGCACACGCCCGCACTCATGGAAGACAAAGCTGAGGTGCTGGCAAATGCCCAAGGAAATGTGCGGGGTACAGAGGGAGTCCCAAGGGAAGGGCTTCACTCTTCTGCCACGTTAAAGCCCAGGCATGTCCCACCTACGATAACATTCCACCACCAGAGAAGTGCCAGTCACCAGGCTCAGAAACAAAGCCCCTGCACAGGAGGCAGGGCCTCGGGCGCCGGGTGGACCGCGAGATGCTGGAAGGCAGTGACAGACGTGACTTGCCATCAACAGGCCAGGCTGCAGCAGGCGCGCCGTGGGTGCCCCAGTTTGGTGGCTGTCTCCTTCCTAGAAGCAGTGAGTGGGCTGTGGCAGCAACCCTCACAGTGCTGCCTGATAGCCAGGTCTTTCTAATGACGCTTTGGGGCTAGGAGTCCCTGACCCAGCGGGGCCTCCGGCCTCCTCCAGGGCCTGGGGGCGCTTTCGCTCCTAACCCCAGGGTGTTATGTGCTGCACCGCAGGACTCACGGGCACAGACGCACAGCCCGGCCCCCAAGGGGCCTGGATATCTAGAGGGCGGCGTGCTTTGGGCTGTGGTTCTCTGCGCCAAGTTCCAGAGCTGTTTCTGTGAAACGGGAGCCCACCCGGGGCCTCCCGCCACGTAGAAGACCCAGCTCCTCCGTCAGAGTGCTCCCCCCGTGCCAGGGTAGCTGCGGCCTCGGGGGACCTTGAGGTGGGCACCTCACTGGGGGTCCCACAGGGCAAGTTGGGGCTGCTCTTTTCCTCTTCAAAGCAAGGCAAGAAATGTGAGTGCGCAGGAAGCAGGAGCGAACCGCCCCGTCCTCACACACAGATCCTGCGCTGACGCCAGCATCGACTTCCATGTAAACGCACAAAGGAGAATGACAAACTCAAGGCACATTTCTGCCGTGAGACAAAAGCGAGCATCAAATCCCACACAGCCAGAGCTGGGAGCCCCAGGCCACCCTGGGTGGCAGGGCCCTGCCCGCAGCTGGAGCAGGGCGGGTGCCGAGGTGCCTCGCAGCAGGTGACTCGTGGACAGGGGAGCACTTACCTGTCCATCCTGGCCCACGTGATGGATCTGCAGGTTACCCTGCAAATGACCAGAAGAGGAGACAATCAGAGCCGGCCATGAGCCCGTGATGAGGTGAGACACAGAACTTCCCTCTGCCTTCAGGAATAAATAGAAAACCACGAATTCTACAAAACTCCAATGCCTTGCAGTAAAAGCCATGAAACATTTTAAGAAGAGTTTCTAGGTGCTTTTTTTTCTTATAAAAACAAAATACCTGACTTTACACAGAGACTCCAAGCTCCTGTCCCCTGGCACCGGGGCCACTTCCTGAGCACGCTCTGCAGGCTCAGCTGTGGCCCACAGTGGCCCAAAAGTCAGTAGCACTACTCAACAAGCCCAGTGGTCTCTCGGCCTGCTTCCCTGGAGCTCGTCACTCACCTCGCTGTCCTGCGTGATCTGCACCTGCTCCCCCTGCGGCACCTGGGCGATGTGGAGATGGCCCTGTGGGATCCACAGCAAGAGAAGACACCAAGAAGCATCAGAAGAAAAACAAACCCAGGAAACAGGTGTTTCCTACCACATCTGCTCCTGACCCCACGCTCATGATCTGAGAAGGGACAAACCCTGACCAGCTTCGAAACCTGTGCAGGGTCTGTGGTCCTCAGGTGACCTCTATGCTCAGGACACCACCCTCATGGGCCGTCACTCCTAGAGGAACAATAGGTCCTGAGGAAAACATGTCACATCTTTAATGTCACTATGCAGGTGAATTTAAGAATACTGACATACATAAGGGGAGAAACAAACTTAAGAATCACAACTTCAAAAGAAAAACAGCCAGGTATGTTGGCACATACATATAATATGCCAGTACCCTGGGAGGCTGAGGCAGGAGGACTCCAAATTGGAATCCAGTCTAGCAACTTAACAAGACCCTAAAAAAAAATCAAAAACCAAAGTGCTGAGAATGTAACTCAGTCCCAAAGCCCAGCATTCAAGTTGCAGAAGCCCCCCAAAACAAGCTATTTTCAGTTTGGAGAGCTAGAATCCTCATGGAGACGCCAGCAGGCCCTCCCACCCTCTGCCAACTCTCTGGGGCGCAGGAAGGCTGCAGGGTGGTGGTGACCAGGAGGGAGGGAGTCACATATGTGTTAGCACTACAAACAGGACAGGCAATTTTTACAGCAAAGAAGCACTCACATGACTCAAACAACTCGTGAAAATCTAAAAATGTGGCTCCAAGAGAGCCAAAGCCTGCAGTGAAAACACTTGTGTTTACAGATACCGGAGAATAACCCTATAAACCTTAACACAGCTGAATGAAACAAGCACCACTGTTATGTTTAAAACTATGCTGGCCAAAACGGACCTCAGAATAATCTGGGCTGCGTGTCAGAGTGCTCTGCTCCGCACTCCCAGGTCACATGACAGCACACACACACCCTGGCTGGGGTACTCGAGTTTGAAACCGGCTCTTCTGCCAAGAAGGGAGGTCCTCCTGCATGCACACCAGGCCAGGGCTTCCCGCTCGCTCTCAGGGGGCAGCTGCCAGTGTGGGTCTCAGAGGCCTAAGGTGCCAGGTGCCGTCAGCACCCTTCAGTCTCCAGAAGGCCTCCTGCCCTCCCTGCTGCCTCCAAGGCCTGCCCAGGGGCTCGCAGAGCCCACACAGGGCCACAGCACACCAGCACGAGGGCCTGTGGCAGCCAGGCAGGCCTCATCTCTTCAGTGCCTGTGGGTAGCCGCAAGGCACCAGGGACACTAGCTTCGTTCCTCGGTCCCAGAAGAAAGGCCATTTCTTGTTGGTAAAAAGGCGTGTGCTTCTCAGTTGCTTCACAAGAGGACAGGCAGAGGCAGGGACCCATGAGTGACCTGGCCTCAGTCACACTAGACATAAGTGGGTGACATCAACAGTCCCGTAGGACGGGATGGGCCCGGGAGACCCATGAAGGCCCGTCCGATTTGCACTGCAAGGCGGCTCAGCATGGCCCTCACTGGGGCTCCCCCGGGCAGTGCCCCCCGGGACCCCCAACCCAGCGCAGAGAAGTCACGTACTACTTGCACCTGGCCGTCCTCTCCGATCTGGTGGATCTGCACCTGCTGGGCATTGGCCAGGGTGTAGTGCAGGGCTTGCGGCTGCGGCTGCTGCAGCTCGGGCGCGGGCGGCGGGGTACCCATCATGGTCTCTGCGGGGAGAGAAGTGAGACAGTTCTCAGGGCGCCCAGACAGAACCATGCCATCCCAGGCCCCGCGCATCCCTCAACCTCAGTCCCACAGAAGACGACAGCGAGACCACGCTCCTAGCACAGCTGGGGACCGCCACGGCAGGGTTGGGGGAGCTGGGCTTCCTGACACCGGGGCCAGCGGGTGTAAAGAAGCAGTGCCAGCGGTGTGACCGAGCTCTGGCCCAATGAATGGAGGCCTCAGGGGTCCCTGCGCAGGAAAACCCACGGGGGATCAAACTAGAGATCTAAAATGCATGTCGGCATTTTAGAGTTCACGGAGAGGCGCACTGCCGGGGCCCTGGAAACACAGCCCGGCTCCCGCCGGAGCTCAGGCAGCGCTGTGGCCGTGTAAGTGTCCAGAATCTGCGCCCTGGTCCGCGGTCACAAGCCTCAGGCAGAGCAGCAGCTGCTCGGCGCCAGGCCCCGGGACGGCGCACAAGGGCTCGGTGTCACTGCCCCAGAGCCGCCTTCCTGTGGCTGGCTTTTGGATCACACCTAGTGGAGACACTCACAAAAGAGGACTCCGGAGCTGCTTCAGAGGCGGCAGGACGCCGAGAGCAGCGTGCAGAGCCAGGGAGTAACGGCAAGGTGTCTTTCACTGCAATGGATTTTTAAAACTTAAAAGATTCACTGTATATTTTGATTCCATTGTATTGGGTTAATTTTAACTATAATCAGAAATATGAATTTTTAAAGTGCTCGTATTTTTGTGACAGGATTATGATGAGTGATCAATTTTTAAAACTGTAGCACAAAAATATACTGTAGTGGGAGGAAATTTTGTGACAAAGATGACCAGAAGGAGAAAAATGAAAAATAAAAACCTGTTTATCTGGGTTTCTTGGCAGTTCTGGTGATTAAATGCCAGGATTTTCACAGGCCAGGAGCACTCCATTACCATGCTACACCCCTGCCCCAAACACCTAACTATTAAAAGCCTTTTCTGCAAAATAATCGCTAACAGTACACATTAGACTGCCATGGAGGATTTTTAAAAAATATTTTTAAAAAGTAATCTAACTATTAAAAATATTAATATTTACATTAATTACATCCTTTTTCATTATTTCAAACACTTGAAAATTTTAGGTCTGAACTTTTAAAAAAGTCAACTTGAAAAGTGCAAGGAAGAACATACAGTTTCAAATTCCACTAAAAGGGTACATGAGCAAAGGTACTTAACAGGCCACAGATCCCTAAAGAATGTCTGTTCAATGTTAATGAAAATCAATCGATTTTGATGTTTCTCCAGTTGTTGAAAACATAACTAAAATGACTATATTCACACAGAGGGCTCTAAAAAACCACAGAAGATAGGATTTTTAAATATATAAATGACTCTCAAACCTGAGATTCAAATCACTGAAATTACCATTCAATCAAGAGCTCCCTGCAACTGTGCAACATGAAGACTAATAATTTAAATCCACAAGGCTTTCTGTTGGAGTAAGCCCAGGGCCTTTGCTGCGCTGAGCTGCATCTGCGACCCTTCCTTTGATTTGCTGAGATAGGCTCTCACTAGTCCCTATGTGTCGGCCTGGATGGGGTTGAACCTCGGTCCTCCTGCCTCATCCTCCAGAGTGCTGGGATTACAGCTAAGATCTGTACTGTATAACGACTAATACTGAGGTCTAGTGCATAGGTTTGCCCTGGGTATTTGCTCATAGTCGCTGACCCCGCGACCAGCAGTGAGCGAGCTCACATCCAGACAAGGACAAGGGACCAACAGAGCACCACACTGCACTCCCCCCGTGTGAAGCCCAACCCGAGGGCACAGACACAACTGCACACACAAACCCGGCTGGTCCTCGGCAACTCCACACCACCACCCACGGCGTCCATGCCCACTAGGGCTCCACGACAGCTGAGACTGCATTTAAACAGCAGAAGCCGGCTGGGCATGGTGGTGCATGCCTGTCACCTGGGACAGAAAGACTGCCTCCAGTTCAAGGTCACCTTAGACTATGTGGAGAGACCCTGTCTCAAAAACCAAGACCAACAACAATAAAACCCAGCCTTCCACACTCACAAGTAAAAGTCCACGTGGTGGTGCCACAGAAGGGGACCCAGCAGGTGTTTCATACACTGATTTTAAAAAACAGCTCTTGAAACCAGTGATTTTATGGTTTGTACTCAACTTGGCAGCAGCGAATCATCCTTGCATAGACCAGTCTTGGCTCAGAATCTCAATTACAGTGTTTATTTTCAAACTTCTGTCTGCTGGTGATTCAAAGTAAATGAGATAACCCCAGTAGACACAGGATCAGTGCGGTCCAAACCAGCGGAATTCTGCCTTAATTACATTTTGCTGGGTTATTTCTGTCCCCAAATGCCTTAAATACCAGAATAGCTTTGTCAAACCAAGAGTAGATGCAAAACAGAAAATAAGAAAGATTCTTCGTCTCTTAACCCCGACACCTGTTCTGCTGCCCCTGATCCTGATGAGCACACAGTCTATTAAAACAGTAGACAATTAAGTCAACTCAAGTTTACAAAGGGATGAACTTCACAAGCAGCGTGCTCCCCTTCTCTCCACTGGTTTCCTGACCTCCGCAGAAAGCAGTCCCGTCTGGGCCTCCCAGCAGAGGAAGACACGAGACGGGTCCTTGTCTTGGGCGGCACTGGTGTCCAGGTTTTGCTGTCTTCCTAATAGAAGTCCTGCTACTTGTGACTCGGGGTGATCTTTCTGAGGCTGTCCTTGACCTCTGCTTCTCCTCTGGGAACACTTTACCCCACAAATAGGCCTGGCTTTCTGCTGCTCTATGCAAGCCAGACTGTCATCGAGGTCTCTGGCCAGCTGGCCAGCTCCGGCCCAGCGCAGTGCGGACACTGGCCTCCCGCTGCGGCATGCGCGGCCCTGACGCCCCCAGCTGGCTCTGCTCGGAGCTCGAGGGTTCAGCGTCTTGCAGACCAACTTCTCTCTGCCAAGACACAGCTGGCTGCAGGCTCCCCTCGCCCCGAGGTCAGACTGAGGGCAGGCCCCTAGCACCTCCTCCGCTTGGGGACCATGGCCTGGCTGCCTGGTGGCCGGTGTCCACACTGCTGCTTTGTGACTCTGTCCAGATTTCTCCAACAAGACAGATTTTCTCGGGTCTCTGCTACTGTGTCATAACTAAAAGCAAAGATCTATTTCGAATTTTATTTTTTTCAACTGGATTTTATTGTTACACTTTAGATGTACATACTCCCCTGAATTTTAAACAGCATTGTTAAAACTAACCCAGTGTTGGGCCAGGGGTTTAGCTCAGTGGCGTAAGTGCCTGCTTGGCAAACGCAAGATCATGAGTTCTATCCCCAGCACCAAAAAAAAAAATCCTAACCCAGTGTTTACTGGAAATGATACGGAAGCCCCAGGAAGACATAAAGAACTCGCAAGATGAGAATTACAACCCTGTGACCTAAATGCAGCCGTTGTGGGGGCGTGGCACGTGGTCTTCCCACCGCTGTCCACACTGGCCCTGCACTGTCCTTAAATCCCATGTGGCACGTGCCGCAGTCACCACACAGGAGGCTCACCAAAAACACCTCATCCGCACCTGTCTGCGGACTCAATTCCCACCTCGAGCTCCTCATCAGCTGACCGTGCATGCCTCGCTCCGAGCTGTTTCCCTGCATGCCACCCACTCACGACAGCACTGCCCAGGGCGCAGCCTGGGTGGCCCACAGCCGCCACCTCCATCTTCAAGAACCTTGGCAACAGCCTCAGCTGAGTATCCGGTCACGGCCAAAACCACCAGGAGAACCTACTTCCTGAAGGACAGTGGGGAGCTGCAGGTGATCTGATATGCAGCTTCCAGAGCAAAGAGCCCTGACGAAGACTGTGGCACTCAGGAGAGCGGCCGGAGGCCAGTGGGGTCCTGAGCCAACGCTACTTGGCTGCAAGTTCCAGGGCTGCTGCCTGGGAGCAGCCCTGGGGAGCTCAGAGAGACTCTGCCCAGTCACCCCTAGTGAGAATTTCCCTGGGGAAAAGTCTCTCCAGCAGCCTGAGCGGAAAGGCCAAGACATTTGCTTCCGTTACTCTGAGGACCGGCCTGAGTCCACCGCATAGAAGTCAGACTAAAAGGCACAACTCAGACCGCTCCCAGCCTGCAGCTGCAGCTGCCACTACCACGTGAACGGCAACAGTCCTAGTGCTATTAAGCCACCGATGGCAGGATCTGACTAGGTAGGGGAGGAAGGCCTGAGGAGTCCCTCTCCCCGCCCACCCCTGTGCTCCCAGGGAGCCCTCCGCTGGCCCTGGTGTGCTGTGCCCAGGGGTCCCCAGACCCGCTCCGCCCCGCCCCACCTACCTGAGGTGCTGTAGGAGGATGAGGACGGGGTCCTCCGTGAGAAGCTCTTCACCGCCAGACTCTGCCCCCGCTGCTTCCGCCGCCATGCGGTGCGGCACTTGGAGTCGATGCTCTGTTTGATCCGATACCAGTCAGATTCCGTGATTCCGAATTTATAGAAAAGGTGACCTGAAAGAACACGGCCCAAATAAAAGCTGTCAGGTGAGCCCTGCCATGCTGGGAGCCCCGAACTCCGCACCCCACCTTCTTTCTGCTACACGCACACACGACATCTCATGTTGCAAATGTCTGGGGAGTCAAATCAAGGGTCCCACAGTGAGACACTGACACCTGGCTTTCCCAGACCAGGATGCGCTGCCCTCTGCTGCTCGTGTCCCCAGGCCCTCCCCACCTGCTGCTGGCAGCCCAGCCCCAGGGCGCCACACCTCCCAGAGCACTGCTCCTCCTGGGAGCCCTCAGCACACAGGACACACTCGGGCCTAAGCGCCACCTCTGTTCTCCTAATGAGGCACCACACGCAGGAGCCAGGGCCCCTCACACAGCACGGAATCCGAGGGTCCAGGAGCCCCTGGACTCCTGCAAGCCTGGCCCACACCCCACTCTTTAAACCATGGCAGCAGGAAGGAAGGAGTCAGCATGGAGTACAGGACACCACTGCCAACCACGGCCACCACAGAACCGGAACCTTAACCAGCAACCTTCAACCAAGCCTCGGCTTGCTTTCGTGGTAGACGCCAGAGAAGGCAGCAGCAGCAGGTCTAGGAGAAGAACCTGCCTCCCGTGGTGGCTCCAAGGTGCCCAGCCAAGGGGAGGGCAGCTTCCTGGCTGCCCTCCCTCACCCAGCCCTGGCGAGGCAGGCCAGGGCCGTGCAGGAGTGGGCACACAGACCTCGAGCACATTCCCGCCACCAGGACGCATTCTGACTACGCTGTGCTCTGGCAGGGCACACACTGGCCTGGCACGTGATGGAGACGGGAGGGCAAAGGCCTCTGCGAAGCAGGAAGCAAGGCAGAAGCCACTGCTGCTGCCACCTAGAGCAGTGCTCAGCCACCTGAAGGCGAAGTCCCCGCTGCTGGCAGGGTCCGGGGGAGCCATGCCCGCCCCCTCCCTGGCAGGCTTCCACAGCCGACCCAGAAGGCATCTGTCCTGGTCCTCAGCAGCCTCTGCACTCCCCAGATGCCACTATGCCACTGAAGTCTGGCCAGAAAGCCAGATCCTCTCTCTCGTTAATGAGCTGGCATGGAGGCCCGGAGCAGCGTGGAGAGAGGGCAGATGGCCAGAGCCTGCCTCTGCGGTGGGCGGCGTGGGTGCTTATCAGTCACGAGGAATGAAGAACACGGTCGCGGCTAACACAATCTGAAGCTCAAGGCGAAAGGAAAGCAGGAAGCCGAGTGCCAACAATTTACTGCCTGAAATTACAGAGGACTAGATAGCGGCTGGCCCAGAAAAGCACAAGGCAGGCAGGAGCCTCGTGCCCCCACGCACCCAGAGGCGCCCGCCTCAGGGGAGCCGGCACTGTCCCCAGCACTCCGGCTCACCACTGTGAAAGCCCGGTGCCCTCCTCGCTCGACTGTGTGCGGAGCCCCTGCAGCCCCCTGCCACCCACACAACACCCCACTGAGGAGGGCCGTCCTCCAGGCTGCCACTGGCCCGTCTGACCAGCCCGCCCCAAGCTCTGCACTCAGTGGCTGCTGGGAGCCATGCATGGCCATCCATGGCAGACCCATGTCAGCATGGTGTGCAAGCCAAACATTCACCCTGCAGAAGGAAGATTTGGATAAGAGACAGCATCTGATTATCCAAGTTTAGAACCCACACCCTGTGCTGGGGCTGAGCCGTGCTCCCCCAGAATGCAGGGCCTTCCCAGGACCTTGGAATGTGGCCTCCCTGGGATGCAGGGTCTCTGCAGATGTGATTAATTAAGATGAGCTCATACTCGTGGGCTGTCACTGCAGTAGGACTGGTGTCCTTATAAGGACAGGAGACAGACACGGACACACAGGGCAAAGATGGCCTTGTGATCACAGGGCAGGGACAGAGCAAGGCTGTCCTAGAGCAGGGCACGGTGTGGGGTCACCACGGGAAGCTGGCGGACGGAAAGCCCCTTGAAGGCAAGGCGGCCTCCCGACCCCGTTGAGCAAACGTCTATGTTGCCGGCCTGCAGTCCTAAGAGGGCTGTGAGGTGTGCCCAGGGCAAAGCCACCACCTCCCTCCTATGCTCATGGGAACCGCTGCTGCCCACTGGACACTGTCCACGCCTGGGGAGGGTGAGCCACGGGGAACAGCTCCAGCTGCCTGCTAGGTCGCCTGTGAACCTGACTTCCCCCAAGTGCCAGAGCCCTCACAGATCCCCGGCCAAGGCCACATGCCCCACAGAGAGCCTCCAAGGTCCAGCACAGCCCGTCTGCCGTCACTGCCATGCCTCACAGAGGGCACCTGTTCTTCAGCATCATCTAAGCAGGGACTTACAGAATCCATGGTCTGAAAAGAAAAACATCCCAAGAACCACCCTGAGGGAAAGAGGGCATTCCTCACAGAAACGTTCCAAGTTTCTCAAAGGCACCACAAGTGCTACTGTCACACAAGGAGGCACAACTAGTGAGCTGCCCGAACTCGGATCAGGAGGTTCCCGGTCCTGATCTTGGGAAGCCTGTGAAAGCAAACCCCAGGCTGGGGATGGAGCTCACCACACTGCACTTGCCTAGCCAGCGGCAGCCCTTGAGTTCAATTCCTGGTACCAAAAAAAGAAAATAGAAAAAAAAAGCTGACAGAGATAGTATTTCTGCTAACAGAAGAGTGAACTTAGCCCAAAACCTCCTCCACAATGAGCTGGACTTGCCAACAAGGCCAGCAGCTTCCGAGACTACAGCCACAGGTGTCGCCGCGCGTCAGGTGCAGCAGAGATGGAGGTCTGGGACGCCGGCAGCCCCGGTCTCGCTCTGTGTGGCCAGGCTGCAGCACTATGGTGTATGCATGTGTTGACTTCATTAGGCAGTCATCAGTGCTAAGATGAGCCGGACCAGACGCAGCAAAGGTAAATGAGCGTTTTAACATCTGACAATTCCATCTGACCACAAGCAGCCAGGCTCTGACCTGAAGAGGCCTCGCCCACACAGGTGGGCCGCGTGGGCAGCAGGAGCGGGGGTTCCCACAGCAGTCAGGGGACCTGTACCCTCACCATCCAGCCCATGCGGACGGCCCAGGCGCAGGCAAGGCCGACAGCACCAGCCCACAGACTACAGAGCTCTGCTGGTCCCTGCGTTGGAAAAGCAAGCAAGCTACGGCACAGAGGGACCCACAGGGGCACAAGTTCACAGACTGAGGTCATATTCAGCCTGCTCCTTCCAACAAGAGCCCCCTCTAGAGGGAGCTCCAGGGTGACAGGGAGCTCAGCAAGGCCCGCCTAAGGAGCCTGGGCGGGCACAGTGCACTGCAGCCTCGGGCTCCGTTCTCTCTGGCCTCGCTGAGCCCGGGGAGCAGTTCCATCCAAGCCAAGAGGTGCACACCTGCTTGCTCTGGAGTCCTGAGACAGGCACAAGGCAATTCTTCAGAACCCGTCCTCCCCAAGCCATCTGCTCAGCAGAGACACAGCAGCCACATAACAAGACCTAAGTCACCAAAGGCTCAGGGTCAGCCGGACTGCGCTGCATTCCTCAGCAACTTCCAGAAAACTCTGCAGTCCACATGACACCCTCAGCCTCTGTTGCTGTGGCTGCCACATGCACAGGGACCCCACTGTTTCCGTGGTGCTCCCAGAAAGCTCAGCCCTCACGCTGCGTGGGTCAGTGTCAGAGCTGCGGTGGATGGCAGCTCCCCCGATGGGGCAGACTCCAGGTGTGCTAAAAGACTCAGACTTCAGCACAGGGCTGCTCCGCACCCACCTGGGTCCACGCCCACTCCCTCCACGCTGCCTCTCCAGGAGCCACGCTGCATGGCTTCTGGAAGCTGGGGCACTTGGACACACAGCCCCAGGGTGACGCTGGGCCAGGGGCACCAAGCTGAGGGTCTAAGCTGAGTGCCCTGTACCCTCTCCACGTGTCGTCAGTGGGAGGGCACAGCGACATGAGCTTCAGCAAGTGCTGGTCTTCCAACAGGAGCAGACATGGGCCTGTGCCAGCCCCGGAACTCTCCAGGCTGTTGGTACAGCTGGGTGGAGCCCTTCCCGCACCCAGAAGGCAGACACATTGTGCTTAGGCCACTCGGCTGTTTAGGCTAACCAGCAGCCTGACCAGCAGGAGGCAGAGTCATGCTCCCGTTCCCCAAGGGGAGCCCGAGGCTGAGCGAGGCTGGAAGTCCTGAGAAACTCTTCCCAGGCCCTCTTCATGGCAGGGCAGGAAAATCCTCCACGCAGGCCCATGCCCCGGCCCGGCTCCCCAGGCCCCCGACATCCGGACTCACTCTCCCAACAGCTTGCGCCCCACCCAGGCAGGTCCCGAGCTTACACCGGATGCCATAGATGGTGAGCGGGTCGAGCTGCTTCTTGCCATGCTTGCCCTGGCCCGACAGGTTGGACACGGCCTGCACCTCGCGGTGGAAGAGGTAGTCCAGCAGTGTGAGCGCCATCTTCTCGGCCGTGCGGCAGTTGGTGCTGATGTGCAGCATGTCCGAGGGGATGATGGCGCAGCGCACGCGCATCTCGGGGTTGTTCTCGTCGCCCAGCCAGGTGCCGTTGGGGTAATCCTCTGCAAGCAAAGCAGGAATCGTTAGCAAAGCTCCAAAGACAGCCCATGAAAGGCGCCGTGGCATACTGGTCCTCACTGTCTCGAAGGCTGCAGGGTGCACCTGGGGAACCGAAGGCGATGGGAAGGGACCGCGCCTCCTACACTTGGGAAGCTGAGTGTGACAGACCGTGTCACCGAAGGGTCCACAGGCCTGCATCCCAGACGAGGCTGCCCTCCCCGTTTGGAGCTCTCTGCCCTCAGAATACAGGCGCTTCCCACACCTCTTCGGGCTGCCCAACCCAGCTGATCAGCTGGCCGACACGTGGGTCCGAGAGAGAAGCCCACGAGGACACCCTGAGACCAGGGCAGGAGAGCAAACAAGCTCTGGACCCCGGCACCGGGTTCTCTTCACATCTCAGCAAAGACAGACACGTCCGCTTGCTGCGGCTTGCTCTGTCTAGGGAGGGATGGTGAGCACCTGCCTGGGTCTCCCCATCAGGAGAGCAAGGGCCACATGCACACACCTGCCTGGCAGGACCGGTGAGGGCTCCACACACTCATCTCTACTCTGAGGCATGCCAAGTACAGGCCACCCAGACGCTGAGCAGCACCCAGGGGAGACAGGCAGCTTCCTTCGGTCCCAGCACTGCCAGGAGTCCCGTGGGAACGTGCTGGCCTCTGTAGCACTCTCCTCCCCTCCACAGTGAGCCCACCACTGAATTCCAGACTGGCGGGTGCCCCGTCCTCTCCTGAGGGCCTCACCCCCCCTCCCGTCCTGGCCTGCCCGGCAGCACACAAGGAGCCCCTGGGGACAGCCCCCTCCAGCCCTGCTTGGTGCGCCTTGGTCCCTGACTATCCTCGAAGCTCCCTCATCTTCTTGTGTCACCTCTAAGTCCTGCCTCTGAGGGAAAGGCAGGGCCTGGATACTGCCAGTCTCTGGGACCAAGGAGCCAGGGACGCATGTGCCGTCTGTCCTCATGTGGGTGGCCTCTCCCAGATGGCTGACCCACAAGATTGCCAGGAGACAAAAGGTAAGGCCAGTGCCCCGGCCACGCAAATACAGTGTGGTATAGGGCAGTGGCCGAGGGCCAGAAGCACTGAGGGACACTGAGGCTGGGCTCGTGGCTATAAATGAGTCTGAATTTCAGAATTCAGAGTAAGTGGCGCACAAGAACATCTCTCAGAGACACAGACGAGGAGGAACACACGCTCGGACACAGGTACTCTTCCGAAGGTCAGCCAGCCCCCTCTATACTCAGTCTGTGCATGAAAGCCCAACCATGGCCACAGCGGGGCTGAGGATGTGGCTGGGGTGTCAAGGCTCTTGACTTATTAATCTAGCTACTAACACATGCTGAACAGCTGTGTGCTGGCACTAGACCTAATGCTCAGAAACACTGAGGCCTGGTTCAGCCCAGGTCTCAGTGACCCTGGGTGCACAGGAGAACACTCTACCCTGGGGCAGCCCAGTCTTGCGGCAGGGGTCCTCCCCAAGGGCAGCGATGAAACTTAGAACAGAAGGAGATGTCTGCTGACCTCAAGCACCTCTGGATACACACGTGAAGGCTCGGAGCTCAAGGCCCCAATGGGAGAAAGCCAGCCGACAGGCATGGCGGGCCCCAAGCTGTCAGAGGTGGGGCGCTGCTGGAACCTGGCTCCCCGGGGCGATGAAGGAGAGTTTGAACAGTTAGGGCGGCCTTTCCCAGGGATGACAGGAGTGCCGAATTCCACCAGCCAAGCTCTGCCTTTTGAGATGATTCTAAAGTAAACACTGGACAAGAGCCCGGCAGTTGTTTTCCAAACAATGAGTCAGTTCCATGTCCAAGAGTCACTGGGACCGTGTGTAAAGAGTGATTTGGGCCAGCTGCGATGACACGTGCACAGCCTCCAGCTGAGCCTGCCCTGCCTACCCAGTGCGCAGACCGGATGCCGCAGGGCTGCCAGCCACACCTCCTTCCTCCCCAGATCCTGCAGGGCTGCCAGGCAGCACCAGGGGCAAAGGTGTCCCCATGACGTTACGGTAGCTGCCCAAACGTGTCAGGGTGCAGAGCCTGCCGCAGCTTTGGGCCTGCAGGAGTGCACACATGGAGACCAGGTACTTCTACCCCACAGCCAGCTGCCTCCTCAACTGGGGTCACCTGGGACAGGGCTGAACAGTCACCCCGAGCCTCCGGGGCCTTGCCATCTCCTCTGGACCCTTAAGAACGGGCCTCCTCTCTGCTTCCCCAGGGAGTGTGCCCTTCTTGCTGCCCTCTGAGTCACCAGCCCCTGCATGCTCGGTGGCTCCATCTCACCTGTGAGCATCGGGGGCCTCCAGGAGCTCGCCCGGCAGGGTGCACCCTCCACACCCTCCACAGCCCCGCTCCCACCCACCCCTGGAGCATCGTGTCCCCACCTTTCCCCGCCAGCACCCCTCTACACACGGTGCTGCAAACCTGCAACCCCAGCCACTGAGAGGCTGAGCAGGGCAGCAAGTTCCAGCTCGGACCGAGCACTGCCTCAAAAGACCATTAAGAAACAGGCTGGGGCGGCTGGGGACACAGCACAGTGGGGAGCACTTGCCTGCCATGCACGATGGCTCACTCTCCAGTACTGCTAAGGCCCAGGCGCAGGCCCAGAGTGTTCCAAACAGAGGCAGAGAAAGCAAGGAGAGGGTCAGCCATGGGGACTTCGGAGGTGACAGACACAATCAACCGGCACGAAGGCTAATCCTCGGGGTAGAGCTCCCCGCCAGCAGCACTGGCACGAAAGCGGAATCTGCTGGAAACGCCTGTCCTCAGCCGGGCCCCTCCCTGTGGGTCAAAGGTCCGCCCAGCAAACCCCGCACTCTCAGGGAAGCCATGAAGGCCAGTTTTGCGGCCAGCTTCCTGTGCTCCAGGCAACAAGGGCGCCACAGCCCCCCGAGCTCTGCCGACACTGTGTGGCAGTGTGGACAGGGCAGGCAGAGCAGCCTGCCCTCCGGGGAGGGGCCCCTGGGCCTGAAGCTCCACCACTCCTGAGACCAACAGAGCACGGAGACATCTGCAGAGGCTCATGACCTCCATCAAGGTCCCAGTGAAAGCAGGTGGCCGAGCTGGACCCAGAAGTAGTGCTCTTGGCAATGCCGAGGCCCTGCCTCCAAAGACAGAAGGCCCGGCCTCCCAGAGCCTCCTTCCAACAGCTGCGCACTCGGCCCTCCCGACTGGACGACGCCTTCTCTATACTGACTTGGGAGCATCTCTTCACGTGTGCTTCCTGGATCACTGAACTTTGCATTGGTTCAAGATTCCTTCAGGAAAAAGAAAAGAGATTAGAAATCCCCAGCCAAACTGGCACCGGCAGGAGAGGCCCATCATCAGGTTATGCGTGCTCGAGCAGGGCGCAGCGGCTGGCTGCACTGCCCTCAGCGCCATGCCCTCCCTGCGTGCTCTGCCCTAGGCAGGTGGGGACACAGCCAGCCTGGAGCGCAGGCCTTTCACTCGGCAAACAAGCAGCCCTGCGGCAATGCAGAAAGCTCTGCCGCACACCCAGGACAACAGAGTGCTGTAGTGTGGGCTGTTTCGTTTTGTCTGTTTGTTTGAGACCGAGTCTCACTATGCGGTTCAGGCCCTGAACTCACAGCCATCCTCCAGCCTCAGACTCCCGAGTGCTGGGATCGCAGGTGTGCACCATGCCTCACCTGTCACTGTTTTATTTAGAAAGTACAGGGGAAAAAACATGCTTTCCTTCCCAAATCATTCACTCTTTAGGGAAACTGGCACTTTTGAAAAATCAATTAAAGTGAAACCTTTCAGCAGTCATTTGAATTTCTTGCCACTACCATTATATAGAATGCAAGGAGTTGCTTTAAGCAAGTGTATTTTAAGTTCCAGGAAAACAAAGCGGCAGGGAGAAAGCATGGGCCGAGTGCTGCCACCTCCCAGGCCAAGCCAGCGTCGGGAGAGCTGCCCCAGCTCCTCAGAGCACGGGGAAGCCCGAGAAAAGGAGGAGGGCCCAGCCCTGAGGAGCAAGAGGCTCCTCCTGTCTGCAGGGCAAACCCCCTCTTCTCAGGATGTGAGTGCCCTGCAGCACAACCACAGCACCAGCAGGATGCCGGGCAGTCCTGCCGTCGGTGCCCTGGCCAGGTGCCCTGTGAACCCTGCTGATCTCGGAGACACGGTGGTCCCCTCGGAGGAGCCGAGCATGTGGGAACAGTGCCTGCAGCCCAGAGGCACCAGGGGCGCTGTCACGGGCTGGCCCCTGAGAGCAGCTGTCACCGACCAGGTCTCCGTGGGTCAGGCCTGCGTGGTCATGGGAGTCACTCAGGTGATACAGCCGCCTCCAGACAGAGGACAGTGAACACACTAAACGAAGGCAAGACCGTGCCCACTGAGGGCTCCAAGTTGTTCAGATTTGGCATAGAGAGTCGATTCCACAACACAGCAAACTCTGAGTCAGCTCAGGGCCTCAGCTATGGCTCAGCCACCTTCAGCCAAGTCTGCAAGACAGACTCAGGCTCACGTGAATCTCAAAAACCAGCTTTCACCCAGGCTTTGTAGAAGCCTGCCCACACTGCTTACCAACCCCCAAAGCGGTACACTGCGTAACAGGAGAAAGGCGGTTCACCCACCAAGTGGCGCTCAGCCTGTGCTTACAGAGCAGGAAATCCCAGGCTGGCGCCCGCGGCCTTTTGCAGCATGTGGCTACAGGCAGTGAGGCCAGAATATTTCCCCGCTAGCAGGCAGGCAAATAACTACACGGCTTGCATTCGCTGCACCAGGGAGTCACCTCAAGTCCTCTGAGCAACTCGCGTCACTTACGTGTCCCACAGAAACATCCTGCCTGAGGCCCTCCGCGGAGCCCCACAGCCCAGGCCAGGGCAAAGTCTGCTCTGGGCACCGCAGCTGGCTGCCGTGATGTCACACACAGAGCTGTGGCACAGCTTTATGCACCTGTGCACGAGAGGACACCTAATGGGGGGCAGAGCCAGCAGATCCGACTGGAGGGGAAGGACATGCTGGAGCCCGGGGAAGGCGGTAGAGAGCTGAGAGCCAGGGCATCCCACACTGCCATTTTCTAATTATGTGACACAGAACTGGACGATTTTAGAAATCTGTATTACTGACGCACCCGAAACACAAATTACAGAAATGTCAATTTAGAAGTAGGGTACTTCATCATTTCCTTTAAAACGTTTTGCGGGGAATGGGCTACTTTTGCTTTGTCGGGTTTTGGTTTTAGAATAGGTTTCAACCGCCTGCAGAGTGACCTCCACTCACTTTCCACCAGGACGGAAGCAGCAGCTCCCTCTCCTCAAATCGGGTGTCCAAGAATCAGCTGTCCTGACCTTGCACAGGAACAGTCACAGCACTGTAATTCACAGATAAAGGAAACGTGGCCTCCGCCCACAGTGGACCGTGGCTCAGCTGGGACAGGGATGGGGCGCTGGCAGCTCTCCAAGGCTCCCACCCCTGCCTAAGGGAGTCCACAGTGCAGCATCCTGGACACAGGGAGTGGCTGGCTAAGGGGCAAGTCCTCTCCTCAAGTGCTAACAGAATTCCACAGATGATGACTGTGGGTCCTGTAAACACCTGGAAGCCTCTATGCCAGCTTTCTGATTCTGTACCAAATATCCAAGATAAACTGACTTCTAAGGAGAAGTGCATTCTGGCTCACGGTTTGGTTTCAGAGACGTGAGTGTGTGGTCTCTGGGTCCCGGAACTCTGGCCCTGTGGCAACACAGCACCTTGTGAGGGCGGGAGGCAAAAGCAAGGCCTGCAGAGCTGGAGATGACTAAGGTCGGGGTGACATGCACAGCCCGCTCCTGCAGGTTCAGCCGCCTCCCAGCAGCGCCACAGGTAGCCTTGGGGACCCTTGAGATCCAGACTGAAGCAATCACAGAGATGCATACTGTCAAAGGCCAACCTTATGGCATACAAAGTAGATTTCCACTTTTATTTTTTTTCTTTTTCTTTTTCATTTTAGTTTTTAAAGGGTCCTAAGTCCTCTCTTTGTTTCTCGAGCATTTTCAGCAGAGGTGAAAACCATCTCCACAAACACACTGCTGCCAGTGTTCTGGACATGGTAATAAGCCTCTCACAGGAAACCTCTGTCCAGGAAGAAGGTCTACTTTGTGTTGTTTATAGGAAACAGCAACAGCTCAGATGTGGAAGCAGAAAAACCTCACAAGGCCTTCCTAGTAAATAAAATGACGACTTCAGAACGCGAATACACGAAGCCAAATTCAAGCTTTCGCCCTCCTCTCCAGGCTGTAGTGCCTGCCAGGATGCAAGGCCCCATGTGCGTAACCACAGGCCAAGGCACGGGCAAGAAGGCACCTCAAACCCCTCTTTCCCCACTCTGGGGGCCCAGGAGCCCCCAGCGCGAGTCCAGGGAGACAGAAAGACCCCACGCCAGCCAGCCACACTCACCACTCCGCACACAGCAGCTGGCAGAGCAGCACAGTTCACACGTGGACCCGAGGCACACTGCACCCTCTCAGCAGGGTCGCCCTCTGGGAGGCCACACGCAGACACTCAGCAGAGGACCTGCTGTCAGAAGCTGGAAACTCCCCGGGAGTGCAAAAATGAAAAGGCCTGCTGGATGGTGGCTATCCCCTGCAGTCCCAGCTCTCAGGAGGCTGAGGCAAGAGGATCGCTGCAAGTTCAAGACCAGCCTGGGCTACAAAGTGAGCCCAAGGCCAGCCTGAACTGCATAGAGACCCTGTCTCAAAAAGACAAAAAAAAAAAAAAGAAAGGTTCCAATTGCCACCATCAGAAAGCAGCCAGGACACTGCCAGAGCAGGAAAAGCAGCTTGGCCTGCTGTGCACACCTGTAATTCCAGCACCCTGGGAAGCTGAGGCAGGAAAATCACAAGTCCAAGTACAACATGGACAATTTAGCAAAACCCTATCTCAAAATAAAGAAATCAGACAGGGCTGGGGATATGGCACAGTGTTGATGCTCTGTGCTCCCAGAACCACAAAACAACAAAGCAAGGAAGGAAGCGGATCTGAAAATGGACGTGCGAATCTGTGTTCATGTGGACAGGTTTCTACTCGGGGTGCGAGAGAGTCATAAAATCAGGGGTGCAGCAATGGCAGAGAAGACAGAAGAGTGACCTCTGGAGGGTGGGGCGTCAGTTACCCCGGCTCCCCCGTCCTTTCCACGTCGGGCGGCAGTGCACCCCCTCCCCAAGGAGAAGCGCGGCGCTGGGTGAGCTGCGCCCGAGACACACCTTCTGAGTTCAGGGTGATGAGCGTGACGTTGCTGCCAATGTTCTGGCTCCCGGGCTGGCCGCAGTTGGACACGGAGTCGCTGGCCTCCGACCCACTCTCCCCGTCTTCGTTGTGGCTGTCGTCTTGACCGGGCACCTTCACCACGATGGTGTTCTGCCGACGGCCGGGAACAGCGCTGAGGGGAGAAAAGCGCACAGCGCAGGGTGTGAGAGGCTGGACGAGCACCTCCGCAGCCCTGCCTCGCTCTCAGTCCTGGGCCTGGGCCTGACCCCAACCTCTGCCTGGGCTCGGACCGCGGACCAGCGCGCCTCCCCACAGCTCTTTCTACAGAAACCGACAGCCACTTAACGCTGAGTCTGGGGCTGGAAGAAATGGTGTAAAATAAAACAAACATTTAAAGAAAATATTTACATCACGAAAGAAGTCCATCATAACTCACTGAGCCCCAACCTCCAGTGCTGGCTCCTGCCTCCAGAGGCGAGGCGAGGCGAGCCTGCGAAGCGCTGACCTGAGCAGCACTGCAGGGCCAGCCAGGGCAGGCTTCGCCGACAGGGAGCCCCGAGCCCGGACCACTCCATCCGTCCTGCCAGACACCCACAGGTAGCTCGGCTCAAACACGCAATCACACTCCCAGCTGTTCCCACAGACACACCACGGGGTGGGGGTGGGGGTGGGGGCTTCCAAGGCCACTCAGGAATCTCAGGAATGCCCCAGGAGCTATTCTCGGAGCAGGGCCCCTGCCCGCAGCAGCGAGGGCCCGCCAGCAGAGCAGGACCACACGGCCGGCCAGCTGCGGAGTGCGCAGGAAGCAAGGCCACTGGGAGACGTGACCTGCCTTCCGGGCAACCCTGACAGTGGGGGCCAAGGGCCCCGCGAGCCAGCAGGGCCCAACAGGCCTGCCAAGCCGTGGCCGCCCTGGACTCAAGCCCACAGAGGGCAGCCGGGCCAGATTCCACGCTCTCGGACTGAGCCTCTGCCCTTGGCACCGCCCCATGGCAGGCATGTCTCCCCCTGGCAGCTGGCCAGCCTCAGGGACCCTGCACCTCGCCTGCCACCCACAGATCAGGACCAAGACTGTTGCTGCGGCCTGGAGAACTGGACTCAGACAACGAGCAACCTGGACAAAGCTGCAGGAGGGACAGTCCGCGGAAGAGATGGAGGAAAAGGCAAAACAGGACTCTATGAAGACACAGATGGTGAACAGAAAGCAACGAGGCCCTCACGGGAACATGCAGCCCGGACGCTGGGCAGGCCACCTGCAACAGCCTTCCCGGCACAGGGTGAGTGTCCACTCCCTTCTGACCAAGCATCCATCTGACACATCCCAAAGGAAAAGGTGCACAAAAACCTCAGCATGCCTGTGTCCCTCCCAGAGCGAGCCTGAGAGGGGTCTGTGACCCGACACGCTGCTGCGAGGACAGACAGACATGGCGACTGGTGGTCATGGAGAGTCATCGCCACCGCCTGCCCCCATCAGCTCTCGCACCGCACCGTGCCCCACCCTCTGAGCGCTGTGCCCTCCCCAACCTCACAGAGCCCTGGCTGTGCCTGCCACCAGAGGGACGGACCGCGCGCTCGTGCTGTGCCTGACTCGGGATGTGACTTATTCTCATCACCATGGCAGGGGAAGGTGGGGTGGTGCGTGGCTACTGACTTGCTAATGATATTTTCCAGGGAATCCGGTGCCCTGCCGCTCAAGGGGTCTTCCATCTTGGCTACAATGGCGTTCTGCCGATCATTGTTGAGTATTACTGTAGTCTGGGGGACGACGCTATAGAACAAAAGAATCACAAGAAAAGAAGACCTTAAAACAACAACATTCATTGTCAGAGCACATGAGAGTCATTCAATACAGTCAGTCAGCTCCCCATGCCTGCACCCAGACAGCTGGCCCCAGGAGTGGTCCGCTAGTCTAAGACCGGTGGTCAGGGTCTTCAGCGGAGAGCTCAGACCTAACAGCTGGTGCTCTCGGTCCCCACCACGCACACGGCAAGAAAGCGGGCTGAGGAGATCTAGCTTGTGAGGAGGCCGAGGCGCCCAGGCGGCAGCAGCTGTGTTGAAAGCCAGCTCCCCTGACACTCGGCCCCTCCGGCCAATGCCAAGGCGCCCAGGGCTGGGCAGCAGGGCTGGCGGCACCGCAGCCGCACCCTGGGGAGCGGGCCAGCCCACCGGTGCCCGCAGCACTTCAGAGAGTGCAGAGACCACACTAAGGGCCCCAAAGCTTTGCCCCGGGAACAAACTGCACTCCGGGAGCAAGCGCCAATTGTGTGAACAGCAGGGCCAAGGCAGCTGATTCCCAGCCCAGCTTATCCACAGTTTCGTGTCAGCCATTTATTTAACCCTTAGCATTTATGGTCATAAGAAATTCCGGGAGTATGCTTTGCGGTGAGAGGCTGGGAGGAACAGGAACCGGGTCCTGAAGCACGAAGGTGTTCTTCGTGAGAAGAAAGCAGCGCTCCTTCCCAGGGCAAGAGCTGCTTTCTGTGATCTGCACGCTGAAAAACCCAGCCCAGCACGGCAGCCACAGACTGCCCTGCCCCCGCCAGGTGCAGCAGGAGCACCTTGGACGGCCCAGTCCAGGCGGCCACAGCTGACCCCGCATTAAAAGTGTAGCCAACCCCACGTCAGAGGTACTGCCTTCTCCAGCGTCCAACGTATTCTTTGGTGACCCCTATAGCAACCAACCAAACCATGACAGATCAGGTCTCGGGAGCAACCTTGGTGACCTCTGGCTGGTTACTGTAATCAGGGCCAGGCTCCAACCATCACGTTCCCACATATAAATCAGGAGACTAACGTGGGCTACATGAGTGTGGGACTTACACAGTTCTGTCAGCCTCAAAGAACAGGTTTTCAAACATTCTGGAACGTGCATACCACCGTAAGAACCGATCAGCCGGAAGTGAGTGCAGCGCGGAGGCGCAGCGCTTGCCGAGCACACGCAAAGCCGGGCTCCAGCCTCAGCACGGCGAAGAGTTAAAACTACAGCGAGTGAAAGGCGAGCGCGGCATCCGAGGACGGCCTGGGAGCAGGCGCCGCAGCTCCGGCAAGCGGCCAGAATGAACAGATGCGGACGCGCGCGTGTGCCTGGCGGGTTTCTGAAGCCGCTCCTGCCCGGCAGAGGAATCTCGAGGCTGCCCTTGCTCTGCTGCGGGGCTGGACCTTCTGCACTCGCTGGCACCTCTGCGCCACGTCACAGGCCTGAGGCTCAGGCTGCCTGCACGCCTCTACCTCCGCGTGCTACTTTCTGGGGTACCTGAGTACCCCAGCTACGAAGGCCCGGGGCTGGAACACTGAACTGGGTGCTGCCAGACAGGGCCTTTGGAGACTTTGCAGAGAATTCAAATCCTCACTGGTCCGCTTAAGCACGTCAGCATGGGGCACTGGCACCCACCAAAGGCACCTCACAGGTCTGGTCCACTATAAACACAGCTGCTATTAGCTTCTGGGTACACATCTGGCTGCTTCCGGAGATAAACAAGCTCCGAGCACCCTGGCCGCTGCTCCAAGGCTGCTGGAACTGGATGCCTCTCAATACCCTGGTCCTTGTGCCAAAAGAAAAACAACTGAGAACGGTGCCCGGAGCAGAGGCCCAGGACACGACGCCCCTGGACTGAGGGCGACTGAATTGGGAAGCCACTGAGCTGCAGGAGACCCGAAATCCCGTGGGCTTCCTGGAGGCACTAGCTACCTGCTGGGCACTCAGGGCAGGGCAGGCGGTGACTCCGCTAATGTCTCAAGCTCACTGAATTCCTGAGGGCTCTGCGCAGCCCCAGCCCTTCACCTGTGGCCACGCTCTGGAGTCTTCCCAGGGGCTGGTGGCTGAGGTGGTGACAGAAGCCAGGTGCGCTCGGGTCACCACTGGGAACCGAGTGCCAGCTACTGCCTCTCAGTGTGCAGGTTTTAACTGCTCACCTTAAAGGGTTTCAAACAGGCGACCTTCGCCTTTCAGAGCAGGCATGCAACATTTTCCAAGCTAGACTCACCAAGTAGCCTTCAGCTCCTCCTGAATTCCAGGCAGGTCCAGTCTCAAAGCTATGAGCACCTGAACTGCTTCTGGATTTGCGTGGCTGGGTGGAATCCAGGGCCTCACCTATGCTAAGACAGCACTAAGAGAGCTCTTTCCGAGCTGTGTCCCCAGCCTGCCCCTCTGCTCACCATCCACGCCCAGCCCACCCTACTGTGGCCTTCATGGGGGAAACACCACTGCGCTTGCGCACGTATCCCTGCGAAGCCAGGACTGCCCAGGACTGCCCATCCATCTCGACCTCCACAGGGGAAGGCGGGCAGCAGATAAAGGCATCCGAGATCCCGAGTTCACCAGTGCCACTGCAGCAACAGACCCACACGCCATCCCACCACTGTGCTGTGCCCAGAAGGGCGGGCCACATCCAGGCCTGCAAGTACAAGGCAGATACATCTTCCCCAGGAAGGGGAAGCATGGGATGGAAGACACTGGGATCAGAGCCGCGCAAGCCACTCGGGGAGGCACATTCACAGGGCCACAGCCACAAGAAAGAGACTCTGCCACTGCATTGGTGCACGGCCTAAAGCCTCTCCTGCCATGTCACCCGGAAAGCCAAGCATGGGCCAATCTCATTCTAAATGGTCTCTACTGCCTGCAAGTTAAAAATTAAAAACTTGTAAAACCCAGGTCCTTATGAAAAAAAAACCTTAGGGTAAGAATCAACTTACTGTAAAATTTTGTTTTCAATATCTAATGAGATACGTAAAATAGCATACAGAGCCACCCTCCCAAATGGCCAACTGCACCAGAGACAGGGAAGCGGGCCACAGGAAAAGGCTTCCGACACCAACCGGCCCCACCAGAATGCCCGGACCCAGCCCCCACGGAGCGCAGGGCGCGCCAGCAGAGCCCTCCAGCTCCTCCCGAGGAGCCCCAGAGCAGGAGAGGAAGCAGCTTCCTCTCCTCTCCTTGGAGTTGGGCCCATGCTCAGGAGGTCAGCGCATCACCTCTGGGGCTCACACCCCAACCCAATCTGCAACCCTCTCTACCCGTGAGGAGGACACAGGACAGATCCCAACAGTCAGACGTCTAGACTACAATTTCTCAGTCATCAAAAACAAGGAAAATCTGAAAACCTGTCACAGACCAGAGCAGCCATGTGGACGTTTAGAAGATGCTGTGGGCCGGGGGTGTGGGGCATGCATGGATTCCCAAGACTTGGGAGGCTGAGGCAGGATCACAAGTTTAAGGCCAGCCTGGGCTACCTCATGAGAAGACACTCTAAGAAAACCATGATACACAGAAACACAACACCTGCACAGCGGAACCTCAGAGCCTGAAATGGAGGAAGAGTCCTCAACTGCACTCAGACAGCTCACCCAGCTGCTGGGAGCCTGGAGGCTGCGCCGCAAGGGCAGGCGTGAGTGAGCGCTTCAAGGAGAGAAATGAAGCCAAGCCCAGAAAGGACAAAAAGAAACAGCACTATCAGAAGACAACTGGCTACATCCATGTTTTAGGACGGCTGCTAAAGTGACCTGCAGCTCAGGGCAGCGGGCCTGCCTAGCACATATGAGGCCGTCGCAAGCACTAGAAACTCCTGCGGAATGAAGCGTGAAGCTGGAGACTGACGTCAGGGGCTCCCCGGACGGACGACAGCCCCGAGGGACCGGCGGGATGCAGCCACACCGCTCCACAGACCGTGGCGGTGCTGGGCAGTCCTGACGCGCCCACTGCCTGGAGAGGGACGGGGTCAATGCAGTCTAAGGGCTGTGATGAGAGGACTGGACTCTGGTGCACACCTCAGCCTAGGTCGGTCCCCTGCCAGCTCTGGCCTCGAGGCCGCATCTCTGCCTCAGTGGCTGACGCTGGTGGCTCCCTCGGTGGCGGGGGCAGGAACCGCCGCTTCCTGCTGTCGGTACTCGGCTCTGACAGGCGCAGGGCATCACAAGGAGGCACTCAAAGGGTGCCGCTGTGCAAGGCACACAGACTAGTCAAGGAGAGAAATCGTAAAACTCAGCAGAAGCAAGCATCAAAATTAGATATGAGAGAATTCCACAAGTCTGACATGGCTCAGAGCAAACGCCTCCTGAAGCAGCCTCCCTGGAGGATATTCTTTCGACTGAGAATATCCATGGCCCCAAAGTGGGAACACCAGGCCCGGGCACTGCTGCCAGCAGCACCCCGGTTCTCAGGCAGAGACGTTTCTACCAGGAAGCCATGAGCACAAACAAACAAAAGGAAAAGTCCTTCCCTGAAAATCCACCAACAGTCAAAACAAGAGGCCCTCCAGGAAGTAAGATACAAAGTGCGCTGCCAGCACGTCAGAGGGGCCCTAACCCATTCCGGGTGCCACCGATTCCCCATTCCCTGGCTCTCTGAAGTCCGAACCTCAGGGCACCGCCCTGACCCTCAAGGACTCGGACCTCCACCGCGGCACACCTGCAGGGGGATGGGAAACGCCCACCTGACAGACGTAACGTCCACTTCCACCGTCCTCCAATACAGCAAGCAGGCCACTGGACACAACCTGGCCAGGGAATCTCCGAGCACTCTGTGACAGTGAGCAGACTCCAGCTTTAGAGCAAACAGGCTTTCTTTTCTTCTCGTGAATGTATTTAAAGAATCTTGACCGGGGATTAGCTCAGTGGCTCAGGTGCCTGCCTGCTAAGTGTGAGGTCATGAGTTCGACCCCGGTACCAAAAAGAAAAAGTACAATCTCTTAGGCCAGGAGTTTAGTTCAGCAGCTTGAGTGCCTGCCTAGCAAGCACGAGGTCATGAGTTTAATCCCCAGTACAAAAAAAAACAGTGGAAGAATCTCATTCAGGAGCAGAATCTGAAAATCCGAATCTAAAGCGCCAACACTGATTGGCAGAACTCCACTGCCTCCCGTGTTTGGAAGAGAACATGGAGGATCAAGGCACTCGGGGCTGACAGTGCAGGCTGGGCCAGGCCAGCTCTGATGAGCCACCATCGCAAGCGGACTGCGTGCCAGTGCTCGGAGGCCTCAGTGGTGCGTCCTCCTGCTGTGAGGTCTGCTCCCAGCAGCCTCTCCAGACAGGCGGCCAGAGTCCTGCAAGGGCAGCTTCCACGTGCTCTCCAGGGCGCCTCACCCCGGCCCAGGTGACATCAACCACCAGCCTGAGAGACCACACTCAGACTTCACCCCAAACCCCTACAGCAAGTGAGCAGTGAGCCCAGGGAACCGGAAGCTGCTTTTTAGAGCACCTTATCTGGGTATAACTCAATTCCGACTTAGACATTCCCTTTAATTTAAATATCTGAGGCTCTAAATACTTCCCAGGACTATCTAATTACTAAATGTTAACCAGTTTTTATACGTACAATTCCTGTCCACTTGTGTGTCTACACCAGTGATTTGTACTTTGATTGTGCTACATTTCACTGATATTCAGGCAGAGGAGAGGCTCTTCTCCTCCACTCCCTGTAGAAAGGGCAGCTCTCAGGTGTGGGTGTGTTCCCCAACAGAAGGCATCAAAGCAGTACAGCGCCCCAAGCTGGGGCCTTCCCGTCTTCTGTCTGAAGAGCAGGAATCTGGCACTGCAGTCAGCCGTGTGACACGGCCAGTGTCTAGCAGGGGGACCGTGACTCCCGGAGACCCACACTGCCCTGCAGAGATGGTCTCTCCAGTCCACCTCCTCCAGCTCCGAGCCCCTCCTCGCAGCAAGGTCAACCTGGACCCACCGGATGAGGTGAGTGCGCTTCTCCCAGCAGAAGGAGGCTGTCCATGCGCGGGCACACGCCTCGGCAGTAGCCTTTCTCAGCCCTGTGGACAGGGGCACTCACAGCAGGTGCTTTGGGCCCACGACAGGGAAAGAGCCGGCACTGGAGCTTGGTGGGCACAGGCCGAGGACGCTGAGGAGGCCTGCGTCCACCATCTCCCAAGCCCAGCAGCCTTCCAAGCCTTCACCTGAGTGCAGAACCGGCTTCCTATTTTTGGAATCTGCAATCTCATTCTACTCAACCTTCACACAAAAATTTCAGCCAAGTTTAATCTGACTCGAACTTTCCAGGAACTCAACTAATGCATCAGTGCAGAAAAATGACTCTACTTTGTTTCCTTAGAAACTTCGTTAAGCCGTGTGCAGTGGAACAGCCCTGTCATCTCAGCATTCTGGAGGCTGAGACAAGAGGCTCGCCACGAGCTCAAGGCCAGCCTGGGCTCCGCAGTGAGCTCAAGGCAGCCTAAACCACATGGTGAGATCCTGTCTCAAAGAGACAAAAACAAAAAAGCATTAAGAACTGCTCCTGTTCTGTACTATTCCACCAGCAGCTGGTGTCCGCAAGCCCAGTGGGAAGGCTGCAGGGGGACACACGGGTGCGGCAGGGCTCCAAGCAGAGCCTCTGCTGGAGATCTGCATGGGGAAATGCACACGTTTCCACGGCGCACTGCTGTGCTCCTCCTCCTCTTCTGCATCTCAGTAAGAGCACTCCATTTTCTAACAAAATATATAAATCATACTTCCTAAGCACTGGATTTTAGAATAAGCAAGCATTCAAAACAAAACTGAGGGCAGGAGATATAGCTCAGCAGCACAGTGCCTGCTTGGTTAGCACCATGTCATGACTTTGATCCTCAGTACCAAAAAAAAAAAGGCAGTGTGTCAGTCGGTCCAGGAGCCTGACAGAGGACTTCTGCAGAAAGTGGCCAAGTAGGCGTCTGGAGCGAACACTCAGGCAGCTATGCAACACAGTGCACCAGGGTCCAGGCCTGTCTCGTGGCAGCCAGAGGAACCACCTCATGTCCTTGCCAGAACTATGATGCTGGGACCCCACCCCAGCTGCAGGGCAGGCAGGGGCCCCAGCCACTACAAACACCAGGGCCCTCAGGGCGCCGAGAGGCACTGCGAACCACGCCAGCACCGCATAATTATGGCACCATCTGGCTTATCCCAGGTAAACCAGGACAAGCGGCCACCTTGACATTCAGGACATGCTAACACCAGCCAACAGACAGACCCCACCTCTCCCTCCGTAGGTCCGCTTCAAGCCCCCAGTCTGACCCCAGAACCCATGGGCCGCACGGCACCTCGAAGCCACCACAACCACTGGCAGCAAGGCCTCTGCGGGTCCCCAGCCTGGCGGGACTCCCACTGCCATCCGACCCCCAGAGACACAGCCCTCCATCAAAAGGCTTCAAGAGCACGTCAAGTGCAAAGGCACAATTAAGCCCTGCCACGTGGGGACTTTTTCATAGCCAGTGTGGGAAAGGATTAACAGGCCACTGGACTCATGGTCACTGCCACCCAGAGAAAGAGTATGTCTCAAGACCTACTGCCTTGGCCCACGGCAGTGACGACACACCTTTTAGAGGTCACGTGCCCCAACGGCAACCCAAAACCCACTTACTTATCGCCAAGGGCCAACACTGCAGTTGAACCTGAATGCTGGGGTTTCAGTCTAGAAAAACTTACCCGATGCTCGGCTGCGGGGCGAGTCTGCAGGTTTGCCACCACTGGCCTACAGAGCACGGAAACGGCCAAAGGCTTCCTGACCATCCTCCAGTCTACCTAAACTGTTCAGAGCTTCAGACACTCTCCATGAAGAAGCTTTATGTATTTTTTTTAAATGGACACAATAAAAGCTATCGACTTGAGCGGAAAGTCTGACGGGTTCCAGTGAAATTAATAAACACCACATTTGAAGAAAAGTGTCTAAATACCAGCCAAATGGCGGTGGAGAAAGAGAAGCAGCAAGTGCCTTTGGCAAAGCCCCGGTGGTGAGCTACACGGAGGAGGCGCAGCCTGCTTCAGTCAAAATGGAAAATGGGGGCGAGCGCAGGCTGCTTCCACACTGCACGCCCTGAAGTCAGCACTCAGCGTCCACAGCAGCTCGAGGACAGCGAGAGCCTGGGCAAGGACCCAGAGCTCTTCCCGCGTGGCCACCCCACCATCCTTACCATCGCACTTTGTTGCAGGTCTGGGTGGCGCCGAGCGGGGAGCCCGCCACCATGGGGACCTGGATGGGGCTGTGCTGCTTGTTGGTGACCAAGTCCAGCTTCTCTTCCAGGGATTTGCAGGTGGCCTCCAGAGCCTGCAGCTTGGCCTCAATGCTATCCAACCGCAAGCATATCGTCTGGTTAATGGAATACAGGAAAGACTGGAAGGGAAACAGAGACAGCTTCAGAAAGGACCTGCTCAACGGTGCGGGACAAGTCCACGCAGCCCCACAGCACTCCCTGACCACGACCAGCAACTCCCTTGCAGCCAGAAGCATGCTTGGGCTCTAGGTCACCCCGCTGTGCATGGCCATGCCAGCTCTGCTTTCATCTACAGGATAAACACCTCCGCAGTCTCTGACACGTTACAGGGTCAATCAGCAAACCCCACCTAAGCCAGGAACTCCTCCCAACAACAAACACACACTACAGCCAGCATCCAAACAGCCTAAAGGCCACTGGCCCTGCACATCTGCACCACGTTGGCTGCCCAGAAGCCAAGACTGACAAGTGAGGGCTAGCCTGGCTTTGAAGTCTGCCAGGCCCGGCGCCAGAGCTCTAAATAGCAAGCTTGCCACCTAGTGGCCAGCAGGAAGATCGGCCCGGTCTGATCACTGCTGGGTCCAGGCTCTAGAAGCTGCCTGGGTTGGCAGTACCGCACAGGCCTCCAAGCCCAAAAAGAGATCAAACGCACAGCCCAGACAGGAAGCCACCAGGGTCATTGGGGGCTATGCATATTAAATCATGCGGGACCTCCCCAACAGCCACTGCTCCCAGAGCCACAGGACTCACATTCACCCAAAAGGAATCTACAGGCAGAACAAGCAGGGCCTTCGCATACCGAGCTGAGGCTGCAGGCGATGGCCCTGTCTTGGTGTTAAGGTCCTGTGGCTGCCTGACCTTCCATCATCCTGAGACACTGAGATGCCTGTGGCTGCTCTGGGAACAGAAGCCGTCCCAGGCATCGCAGGTCTACGCTGAGATTGTCCTCGCCCTGAGTCTTACCGTTCCTGTCGGAGTTTAGCTGTGACGCAGTCCGGCTGGGGCTGAATTTGGACGGTGGTCTAACGTGGGGGTGGGTGTTCAAACCCATGAACCCTTTGTAACTGGCTTCTCTGCCAAAAGCAGACTCACATGCCTGCCATCCACGTGAGTGCCCGCGGGGCCCAAGCTGCAGAGGCGGGCCTGCTGTCCCCTCACTTTGCACCCCTGACAGCTTCCTGTGGCATATTTGTTCACTTAATCACTTCGAAGAAACGACAGTTCCATGGACTACATGCTGGAACTGTAAAATTTTAGAGTACTTTTCACCCTTGGGGAAAAAAGTGTAGCTTGTTTTGTACCCATGAACTATTTTTTTTTAATTAAGTGAGTAAACCCACACACACATACACACAAAATCTGTGCGGCAGAGGTCCCAGCACCAAAGCAGGTGCTGCCTGGGGGCAGGTGTGAGGGACGGGGTGGCCGGCAGCTGTAGGCTGGTGCCTGGCTCGTGTCTGCACCCGGAGGCAATGCCAACTCTCAAGGACTTGTGCTTTGCCTCTTCCTTCTCCTCTCCTGCCATGACTGGGGAGAAGTGGCCGCTTGGACACATCGGAAGGAAGGAGGCTGGCTCGAGAAGCAGACGACCTCAGAGCCCAGAGCCCAGCAGCCGGCCAGCAGGTCTCCTGCCCATGCCTAGGGATCACAGATCTTGAGACCAAGGCAGCAGCACGCGTCCCATCCCTGGCACCAACCCTGGCTGCCGTGTATTAGCAGGCTTCCTTCCGCTGGAGAACCTGAACCCTCTGCCTAACGCCCCAGGGCGCAGCAGCTGTCAGGAGCAGCGCTGTGGGAAGAACACGCTCCACCTACACACTTCCCTGCCTTGGCCACCGGCACCCCCACTGGAGCAGCGAGCAGAGATCACCCACGGGCATCATGGTGGCCTGATGCACACAGGCAGGGTCACCGGCACAGCAGATGACCGTCCCAGGGGCACTAACTGGTGGCTGAGCCCAGAGAGGCCACAGCAGCCCTGCAACTTTTCACAATCTAAAGGCAGTGCACTTGACACCTGAATGCCTTCAATACAGCAAAAGCAAACTAACCTGAGCAAGAAAGGATCCCAGCCAGGTTTTGGGTGAAATCACTGTTGCCTACTAATAACTCACTGAACAAGCGGACACTAAGGAAGTTGGGGGTGGGTTATACGCCTCGCTCATGCTCAGGTGACAAAGACCGTGACAGCTAGAACCTGCTCGTGGCACACGGCACCTCCAAGGTCCAGCCTGGCCACGTCTCACCAGAACTCAAGCAGCCACTTGCTCTCTACTTTCTACATTTCCTGTTGTTTGCTATGAAATGTCTTTTCTGATAAAATTGTAACCTTTTTATTTTAAGATGTGATCAGGCAGAGTTCCTGTGAATACACTGTTAAGTGGCTCACTTACACCTACTCTGCTTTGTCCTTGCTCTAACAAAATGAACTGGACATTTTGAAACAGATGTCCAGGCTAAACAGGCCGGACATGATAAAGGGACAGTTCCGCTCACACTGGTTGCAATGCACTGCTATCACCTCTTACTCTGCAGACACTGGAGCCAAACAAGCAATACAAAGCCCCAACAACAATTCAGGAACTGGGTGAGAGGTCTGAGAAACCCAGCGCGAAAACTCCAGTCTGGACTCGGGTGACAGGCACGAAGCACCCTGATGCTCTGGGCACCCTGGCCACAGTGGCCATTCATGGCAGCCTCTGGGCCTGCAGCAGGACAGCAGCGCCATCGGGCAACGCCCATGCCTCTGGCTCCTGAGGGAACCGGCCCATGGTGACTCCCAGAACCTACAGGTGGCTGAGCCCACGGAGTCCCTGCAGGTGCAGCTAACGCAGCGCTCACCTTGGCCTGCATGGGGGCCAGGACAAAGCTGCAGGGACGTGGCCTAGAATATCTGCAGCCACCGGGAGCCAAAAGGGACCAACAAAGCCCCCCTGCAGCCTCTGGAGAAGGCCTGGCTGCGCCACACCTCACCTCTGACTCTGGGCTCCGGAACGGGGAGAGAACACATTTCGGCTGCTTTAGGCCTTCCAGTCTATGGCGGCAACTCGCACAGTGCACATAAACCTAACTTATCTTTACCTTGATAGAGGGATCCTGGCAATTGATTTCTAATCTCTGGCGTTTCAAGGCAGGTTCATCTTCATCCGTCACCACATGATTCTCCAGAACTACTGAAAAGCAGTGCAAAGACAAACAATGAGACAGGGTAAGTCCCACAGAAGTCTCTTGCTAGAAAAGCAGTGAACGTAATTACCCAGGTTCAAGACAAAAGGCACAGCCTAGTTCACAGCTTACACTGAGTTTAAAATTAAACGTCACACCAGCCCCAGACCCTTCACTGATGAACAGATAAAGGCGTGGGGTCCTTTATGCAATGGAGCGCTACTCTGCCACCAAGAAGGAGACGCTCGGGACGCTCCCCGGCGAGCGGATGCACCTTGAGACCGCTCTCCCAGGGAAGTAAACCGAACACGCCAGCACACTCCACACTGTTTCTCTGGTGTGAGAAACCAGAAGGGTAAATAAGGACCAAATTGTCTAACAGGTATTGTGAGGGAGGAAGAAAATGATCAGATGGGGAGGGGAGCAAGGAGGGAGCTGTGGGAAAGGGAAGACGGGAAGAGGTTTTGAAAAATGTGGAGTGGGGAAGAGGGTGGAGGGCAGGCAGGGAGGTGGGGATAAAAGACAGTCAAGGCACAGACATACAGGTACAAATTCCCTGCGATGAATGTGGCCACTGCAGCTAAAATGCACCAATAAAATTTGTTTGAAAAAAGAAAAAAGTTAAAATTCTCAAGCAAAAAGGAGAAGTCCTCTTTAATTCCTAAAAAAATGAGATGAAGCTCTTTTCTTTTTTTTTTTTTTTCTTGAGACAAGGTCTCACTATGTATCCCAGGCTGGCCTCAAACTCACGGCGATCCTCCTGCCTCAGTCTCCCAAGTGCTGGGACTACAGGCGTGAGTGACCACACCCGGCTCCAACAGCCTCTGCCTTGTTTTTAACTTTTTATCATTTGGGTAATAGAAAGCTAATATGACATACCCAGTGCTGAGTCAGTCCCAACGTGTATGCCATATACAGAGGGACATTAGAAAATTACGTGAAATATCTGTCACAAGACCATCTGATTTGCAACCTATTAGGAAAAAAACACAACCTAGCAATGTCCAGGAAAGTCACATGAAGTAATGAGCAACGGGCAGAGGGCTCCTTACGGTAACCACCTCCTCGCATTCCCGAGCCCATCCCAGCCCAGCCCACGCCTGCAGACAGTTAGGGGTGTCCACACGGCCAGGGGCACATGAACTCGGGGCTGCACTCAGCTCCTCCACATGAACCCACCCATATTCTCTCCATGCCAGCAGCTGGGCTCTGGTGTCACAGGGCTGAAGAAGGCCCTGTATCACTGCCCAGCCCTAAGGGGACAGTCAAGCAGCACCCAGCCCGTACCACCCCTGCCTTGCCCGCGGGAACTGCACTGGACTGTCCTAGGCTGTCCACACGAGTGTGGCAACTCCGCGACTTTCTTAGGTTCACGTTTTACGTAAGGGAAAGATCTGAACCCCGGACCCTTCGCGTGAGACGCGGGTGGTGCTCTGCGTCCACTCTCGGCCTCCTGGAGCAGCACCTCAGTCGGCCACTTCTGTTTGACTGACAGGAGAGCAAGCACTGGCGTGGCTTTGGCTTTGGAGGAGACAGGGGCCAGGAGCCCACTAGGTCGCACAGCTCTGTACCTGGATGGTCAGGACTCAGGTCCTCCACTGCGATCTGAACCACATCCGCCAGGTCCTGTTCTGACATCATCCAGGAGGCGAGAAGAGGGCCAGCCAGGGAGCGAGAGTCCAGGTCACAGGCCGCAGTAGCTGTCACCTACCAAAGCCAAGAGAGAGGCGGTGACATTAGCGAAGAGTGACATGTGAGATGACAGAACAACTAAACAGGCACACTCCCGAGGGACACCCTGGCACAGGCCCCGCCCTCGGCCACCACAAGTCACTGTTCTCCAGGCACGAGGCAGCCTCCACACTGACCTGCACCAGCCCCACCTGACAGCCTCTCCAGCTGCATCCCGCCCTCAGACCACCTCCACCTTCCGGGCCTGAAGGGCGGCTCAGAGGCGCAGCACAGACCAGCACCGTGAGGCCCCAGGTTGGAGCTCCAGCACCACGCACGCGCAGAAAGTCAAGTTCGCTTCCTATCATGGGCTCAGAAACCCCATCAAGCCTCAACTGCACCAAAAGCCTCCATCAAGCTTCAACTGCCAACAGCAAATATCCAGTCAGAGCCTGCTCCCCACAGGGTCCCAGAAAACCAGCATCCCGAACACACAGCACCACTGTCCCCCGACAGTGACACATCCACCGAGCACCTCCCAACAAGAACCTGCTGTGACCTTCTTCTTAGTTACTGCAACACTCTGATAGGCCTGGAAGATCTTACTTTCCAAAATAGAACAAGGCTGCATTCTTCAAACTATAAGCTATTAGCATGCAGATCTGAATAATTAATTTCAGAAAGTCTAAATTGAAGCCAAGGGAAAAAAACCACAATAGATTCTTCACAAAAAACAAATGAGCAAATAAAGAAAAGCTTAAGAATAAAAGAAGTGAAAAAGTTCAAGAAAAAGCAGTACAGCTAGGCTTGGTGGCGCAACCCATAATCTCAGCGCCCAGGAAGCTCGAGCAGAAGGATCACTACAAGCTGGAGGCCGGACTGGGCTACAGAGTGAGTTCAAGGCCAGCCTGAATCCCACAGCAAGAGTCGGTCTCAAAGAAGAAAAAACACAACGACAAACAGCGGCACACACAGGCAAAGAAGATCCAGCACTCATGCAACAGGAGAATCTGAAGGCAAAAGCCAGACAACAAAACACAGTACCAAAAACAAACTCAAGAAACTTCTCCGGGGCCGGGAGTGCAGCTCAGTGGTAAAGTACTTACTAGTAGGTGTGAGGCCCCAGGTTTAACCCGCAGCAAACGAGAGAGACTTCAAGCAGAGAAAAGCAGCAGAGACACACTCTCAGGATCCGCTGGCGGTGAGCAGTCCACACTCAGTGTCCAGCAGAATGAACACAGTAAAGGACAAGGCAGCACGTAACTGTCACAAGCTCCGACACCAGAGGCGATGTGAATGTTTAAAGGGAGAGAAAGCGCACACAAAACTAACCTCAACAATTCTAAGTAATCACATTGCACAGTAAATAAGGCTAGACGACTCCTCTGAGAATGCTTAGTGTGTAAACCAGTATTTACAAGGTGTGACCAGAAAAGTATGATGGTAGTGGGCACAGTGGCGCACACCTGTAAGGCCAGCGCTCCAAGGCTGAGGCAGGCGTGTTGCTGTGACCTCGAGATCAGCCTGGACTGCAAAGTGAGCTTAAGGTCAGCCTGCACTATATAATGAAACCTTGTGGCAAAAAGACCCCTCCACAAAAAAAAGAATATGGTGAAACGTTTAAATTCTTTAAAGTTTATTACATTAAAAAACACAATACCATCTATCCTCCTCAAAATACTCCCCTCACCTCCAACACACTCTCCCATTGCTCCTGCTACTTCCTAAAGCAGTTCTCGAAGTCCTCTTTCAGGGCCAGAGATCTTTAGCTGTGCTGCCACGGCCACGTGATATCCTGAATCCACTCAAAGCATTTGCTTTTCAGGGTCATTCTGACTTTGGGGAACAGCCGGAAGTCATGTGGCTCAGACCCAGTCAGTAAGGTAGCTGAGGACATACCATAATGCTTTTATTAGGAAGAAATTACTGTGAATACTTGATCAATGAATGATGATCAAAAATACAGTGAATATTTAAATCAAAAAATGTATTACAGAGCAAGGCATAGTGGCACATTCCTATAATCTTAGCATCTGGGAGGCTGAGGCAGGAAGATCGCTGGGTTTGAGGCCAGCCTAAACTTCACAGTGAAACTATGTCTCAAAAAAGACAAAAAAAAAAAAAATTCTATACTGAACGACACGTCATCATTAATTTCCCTCAAAACATTCACCCTCACGTCACGTATTTCACCATCTTGGCAAAGAGTTTAATTTAAGCGTTCACTGTATTTTCCCATCACCCCCTGCACAGTGATTCCAGTGCCGTCCTTCTAGATGTCCTTCAGACATCAGAAACACGGGTCTAGTGAACGTCTGCAATGTTAACTGGAAATCAAAGTGTCAACTCGTTCCGCAATAAAAAGTGGCACGTACTAGCACAAAGCAGGCATGGGGCTCCGCGGACACAGCAGGAAAGCAGGCGCACCCCACCACGTTCGGCTGCTGATCTTGACCGCGGGCCGAACACTCACACGGGAGGAAAGAGACCTCGTTAGTGAACGGTGCGAGGAAAGCGGCTGTCGGCTGCTGTCCAGCAGACCGGCCCAGACCCCCATCTTCCCCCACCGCGCACGAAATGAAAACGGAACGAAGCTCGAACTATGCAACAGAAACACTGGCGGAGCCCAGCACGAAGCCAAACAGCCAGGCTTTCTGCCAAGCGGCACCAGCCACTCGGGGCCCAGAGGACAGAGGTCAGCATCTCCCGTGAGCCCACCAGTGCGGCTGACAGTCAAGAAGCACCCCACGACGCACCCCAAGCCACCGCTGGCTCGAGGACAGGCTGCCTTGACAGCAACTGAATGCTCGTATTGTGTGGCCGACTGGGCAGCCTGGCCGGCCCGAGCACCTCCTGGGCGGGTGGCGGCAGCGCCGCGGCGCATGCGGGGTCCTCCTGTCCTGCTTCTGAGGTCCAGTATTGTTCTCTTTGCTTGTTTGCTTTGCTTCATTCCATGTTCTGTTTTGACTGGTTTTATTCTGTTTTGTTTGGTCTGATTCTGCTCTATCTCATGGACGGACCCCACTGCGAAGCCAGCGAGACACACTGTGGTGGTCACTGTGGTTTTCCTGGTATCCTGCTTCCAAGTTCTGTATCAGTTTCACTGCTTTGTTTTGACTGGCTTCATTCTGTTTTGTTTTGTTGAGTTTTATTATCTTTAAAATAAAAATAAATAAATAAATAAAATTTTAAAGTAAAACAGGAACACTTCAACTGCTGGTGGATAAAATAAGTAAAACTCGTAAAGGCACAGGCGTAGCCAAGGACTTTCCGAAGAGGATCCAAATGGCACAAGAACGGTACCAAGGGGCCGGGACTTAGCTCAGAGGCACAGCGCCTGCCTGGCCAGCACCAGGTCCCGAGTGTGAGTCCTGGTACCCGAAAGAAAACAAAGCAAAGTCACCAAGAGTCAAGACCTGGGAGCACAGGAAATAGAGAAGCTTCTGCACAGCCAAGGAGACAGCCAGCCAAGTGAAGAGAAGGTCTAGAGAACGGGAGAAAGTTTCCGCCACTGCTCCTCAGACGGGGGCCAACGTCAGAACAGACACGAACTCCAAAAATTAGACACCTCTCAAGACAAAAGACCCAGTCAAAAAATGGGCAACCAGAGTGGACAGACACGCCGCACAGCTGCGAACGGCCAATCAACACATGAAAAAATGTCCAGCATCGCTGGCTGTTTAAGAAATTCAAAGTAATAAATAGATCTGGAAATCACAACAAAAAACACCAACACATTCTATGTTCAAAAGGATAAAAAGTCGACTATGAAAAAGAAAAGAAAAAGAAATGCAAATGGAAACAACCCTGAGAGTCCGTCTCAGCCAGGAGAGAGCGGCCATCATCCAGAAACCAAACACAAAGAGTGCTGGGAGGCTGCGGGGGAAGGAAGGAGCCTTCCGCCCTGCTGGAGCAAACTCGAACTGGCACAGTCCCGATGGAAACCAGAGCGGAGACTCCTCAGAAAGCTGGGGCTGGAAGCTCCGTGCTCCTCCCGCAGCTGTGCCCTCCAGGGGAAGCCCGGGAGCTGAAGACACATGTGCGCACGCACCGCGTTGACAGCAGCACAGCTCTCAGTAACTAAGCCTCGCAGGGCTGCAGTCCACAAGCGGCGATGGGAAAGAGAACGTGGCGCTTATACACGGCCAGTACCACTCTGCCCCAAACAAGGACCGACTTCAGCCGTCCACAGGCAGGGACACTGGCGCGCCTTGGGACCGTGGCCATGAGCGAAATAAACAGACACACAGCTGGGACATCGCACGGCATCTGCTCTATGAGGGACAGAACACAGGTGCAGGGAGGCAGGGGCCTTCTTCAGAGAGAGGGGACACCAGGGGTGCATGGAGGGGAGGGAGAGGGTGCAAAAGGAAAAATCGGGGTGGTGAAGCTTCTGCAGAGCGGAAGGGGGAGGAGGCTGGGGGTGACAAGGAACTGGATCCCCATGCCGGCTGTGGGCACCGTGTCCTGCAAACACGGACTAAGAAAAAGACAAAAATTAGAAAGAAACCAAGTGTTCAGCCGGCCGCGCACGTGCACACACTCGGCCCGGCCCCACGCCTCGCAGCCCGGCAGTGCAGCTCCTGGAGCTGCTGTGTGGTGCAATACTACCTCGCCAGGAAACACCAGGGCTTCTCAGAAAACAGTCCTCGTTCCACCCCAAAGGAGCGAATTCCTTTCACCACTACAGGAGACAGCCTAATCCTACGCCAACATAGGCTCAAGAAGCCACAGTGAATTTGCTGAGAAACCAAAGGTCGCAACTGGACAAGATTTCCAGTCTGCTGCATAACTGGTAAGCACAAGTCTGGACGCCATTCCCTACCAGCCTGGCAAAGGTCAGCAGGGGCGACGGGCTGGAGGAGTTTGGCACCAGCCACACCTCTCCGAGGAGAGCAGGGAGCAGCTAGGAAGCCACAGCCTCCACCTCTGCACCCCAGCACACAGCTACATGTACAGCACAAAAACCAGCAGCACAAAGACGGTGCTCTGTTCTTCCAGCCAAAGAACAGGGGGAGCAGACAGGTGAGCGGTGGACAGCGCCCCGAGGGCACCTGCAGGCTGAGGGCAGAGGCAGATCTCCCAGAACAGCCGCCACTTGGTGCTCTGGACACAGCCCAGCAGAGGCCCCTACGCCAAGCCAGCTCCCCGAAGAGGATCTGCAGGGACCCCGTCCAGACAGAACAGAAGGCAGCCACAGGTCAGGACGCAGGGCGCAGAGGAGATGTTCCCACTTCTCCTCCGCAGTATAACACACTGCATCACGTACGTTCATCGTGGCTTTAAAACACACTTAAAACTGATCAAAGGCAGCTGTGGTGCACGACTGGAATCCCAGCACTTGGGAGGCTGAGGCAAGAGGATTTCCTGGGGTTCCAAGCCAGCCTGGCTACATAGAGAGTTCAAGGCTAACCTGAATGACATGGTGAGATACTGTCTCAAAAAACAAAAATAAAAACATCATCAGGCCAGCCACACACAGTGACACAGGAGGCTAAAGCACAAGGATCACAAGTTCAAGTCCAGCCTTGGCAACTTGGCAAGACCTCACCTCAAAGTTCAGAAACAATGAATAAAAGCAGGTGTGTAGCTGAGTGCGAAGGCCCTGGGTCCAATCTCGAGCGCGGATGTGTGTATCTGACAAGTCAGTGCGTTGCAAAGTCCTCTCTCTCCTCAGCTCCTCAGCCCCGGGCCTGAGGAGGGTGCAGGACTGCCTTCCCAGCAGGCCGGAGGAGCTGCCGGCCCCACCTGACCAACACAGAAGCTGTCAGGCCTGGGAGCAGTCCTCTGACCTGCGACCCCACCCCACCGGGGCGCCCGGGCAAGTGCGTGGCATCCATGTGAAGATCAACGCTGCCCGTGCCATCATCTGTCTCTTCCAGACTCGGGAGCAGGGCAGAGACCGCAAAGGGAAGGCCTGCCTTCCCAGTGAGGACAGTGGTCCTCCACCGGGTAATCAAAGAATTCTCAATCAAATTCACAAGCCACCTGGTAACTAAAAAAAAAAACTACATAGACCTGTTCCAGGAAGATGCACAGACAGGCAAATTCTGGAATCCTCTCTCCTTCCCGCTGCTCAGTTTAGGGCCCTAACTAGGACCCTGGCCCCCCAAGTGGACTCCTTGGAAGCCTGCCCCGCAGCAAGGAGCCAAGGCCAGGCACAAGTGCAGCGTCCCAGAAACATCTTCAAAGAGACCTTGCTCCTGCAGTTCCGGGGGGCAGGGGGAGGGACTGAGGAGCAGGAAGGGGCTCAGGAGCAGCAGGACTGCGAGGAAGGTGCGCAGGACCCTCACAGCCAACCTGAACTTCCTCCTAAGAAAGGACAATAACCAACCAGCAGGATTAAAACAACTTACGGCCCCTGGCCACAGAGGCAGTAGCAAAGACCTGCCTCACTGGGTCAGTGGAAGGTGTTTAAATGCCCATCAAGCCTGAGAAATGGCTTTAGAGAGTACTCTGAGCTCACCATAAAGTCCTGGACCCTGACCTCTTCCAAATGAAGACAGTACCATTACCCAAGTTGTTTATTCAAAACGATGCTGTTGCCAGGATAAAGAGCTACTTACAATGCTGCTAACAGTGGAGGTTTCAATAGGAAAACAGGGCAGCACGCCCAAAACGCTGGCACGGCCCGGCGTGCGGCTGCCATTTTGGCAGGTGAAAGTTGCCATTTCTCAGAAGTCCTGGCACGGTCCAGTTTTCACATAATAAGGCAGCTGGACTAAGATTGCAGTAACTGCTCAGACCGGCCTCTCCTAGCCTGCTCACAGTGCAGAGCTCACAGCCCCACCGAACGCCCACGGCAGAGGGCGCACGATAAAGACAGCACAACCCCCGAAGCCTGAGGTCACTCTCCAGACCGAGAACCACATAACCTACACAGGCGAGCTGGGAAGGTCCACGGGAAAGAACACACAATACCGACAAGCGGGAGCGTAACGCGACACCAACCCTCCCCCCCAGGCACAGGCCGCACAGGTCCCGACCTCGGACTCGGACCACAAGGACCACAAGGTGCCGGCTGGGGGGGCTGCTAGAGGGGCCCAGGGCTCCTCCCCTGGTGCTGTTTTCCTTGCTGCCGGCTCCATTTGCACCTGTTACTGATTCACCGAGTCAGGGTGAACACTGGAGAGCCTCTGACCTGCCCCATCCCCGCAGTCGCGGCTGTGACAGAGGGCAAGAGCCACTTCACATCCAAATCCCTCCTGCCCTCCTCTCCCGGCCAACTCTTGGGATCTGAGACCGCCGAGTCCTACTTCCTCGGCCCCCTCCAAACCCCGCTTTCCCCTGGTCTCGTGCTCTCCTGGGGATCCCAAGAATTCGTGCACTAGTTGCTAATGCTCCCGGAAGACCAGGCCAGGGTCTCCTCCCCAGCCCACCCTGCCCCCCTCCTCCCCCAGGCCAACACTCCCCAGAGCGCAGCCTGGCTGTCTCCTCCCCAAAAGCTGCCCACTGGGCGTCCCCACTCCCTCCCGAGGGCTCCTGCCCTTGCTGCTATCTCCACTGGCTCCACATCACCTCCCTGCCAGGGCTGCCCAGGGCTCCAGGATGGGCCTGTGCTCTGTGGGCACAGGAACCTGGCCACTCCGCCTAGAGGTGTGACAGTCTTGCTGCTAATGCTGCAAACTCAGCCTCCCACAAGAACAACAGACTTGCCCAGCACACTACCCCTGGGGGGCTTCAATTCAACAGTGTCCACTGTGAGATGTCCCTCTGAACCCTGCACTCTGCTCATCTCAGCTGTCCAGGACACCCACTTCAGTCCTCCCGGCCCCACAGAGCTGCCTCACACAGGTCATTCCTTAGGAAGCCTGAGACAGAGCGCGTGCTGTGTCCCCAGAGTGTGAGGACAGCACCGCCCAGGGCCGGTTCCCTGTCAGGCCTTCCTAAGCCCTTGTGCCTCCTGGCCGGCCACAGCACCATCCGCTCCAGCTCCTGGGTGGGGCCGCTCCCCTGGAAGGACTGGCTTCCGTCCCAGGTCCTGCAGAGCAGCTCACCCGAAGAGCCACGTTCCACACACCATGGTAAAAACCTGGAAGGAACCCTGGAAATCGCCTGCTGCTACTCCAAAACTCCAGCATAGGACGACAGAAATACGATTCCCGCAGGGTCAGAAAAAGCCCAGAACAAGCACAAGCAGACACAGGCAGCTCCGAGGCCAATCGGGGGCTTGCTTCCGTGCAGCAAACACGCTGGGAAATGGAGCAGGCTCCAGGAGGAAGAGCGTGGCCCCGGGCCCCATCTTGTCCCCGTCTCGCTCTGCCTCTCCCCCAACACTCTGCGGCCTTGTGCGCTGAAATGTCCAGTCCACGACACCACAAAATCAGGGAAGTTTCCATTTCGTGTCCACTTACAGCAGTGGCTCTGAAGTGCTCAGAAAGCAAGGTCTCCAGGAATCAGGGACCGGCCAGGGGTGCGACGCTGTCCCACTTAGTCCAGATTGTTCAGGATGTTACAGCAATAATGAAGTCAACAGAAAGTAGCTACAAAGTCAGTAAGAAATCAATCTTTATTAAACCGAAACAGGTGAGGAAACCCAGCGCACACCCTGGCCCAAGGCAGGCGGCCGACCACCATCGGCCGTGCACTCAGTTCACCACTGAACGGCAAGGAGAGACTGCTTCTCAGGGTTCTGACTTACTCTTGGCAAAAACCAGGCAGTGTTATTTTTCGTAAAGACAGCCCCCTAAAAATGTTTTAATTAAAACTAGGAAAAGAAGGGCGAGCCTCTGGGGCCAGGTCCTGGCCCTGTGCTGAGACGACGAGCTTGACTAAAGTGCGCTGCTTCCACCACCTGCGAGCCACGAACACCACCACCTCGGCCCCTGTGGTCCGGGGCCGGCTGGGGAGGGCTGGATCGTTGCCGGTCGGTCCAGCCAGGAGAGCAGGACCCAGCAGCCACAGCAGAGCCACCGAAGCATGGCTCCCTGACGCTTTTGTGGACACGCAAACACAGCCTGGTCTCCAGGAGTCCAAGGGATATTTTTAAAGATCATCATTAGAATCCCAAATACAGTGCAGGGGAGCCAGAGGTTCTAATGTGTTGAAGGGTGGCTGAAACCAAAGCCTGAGCACTTATCTGGCACAGTCCTAGTGAGCCAAGGAGAGGGGCCATCCCAGAGGGCCATTGCCACCACGCTGTCCACGTCTGGTCTCACCGCCTCTTCCCTACCTTAAAATTAGCGAGGCTCTCAAAGAGGCTGAGCACACAGAATTATATACTTGTGTATTAAATGTATTTGACATCAGAGCACAAGATTTTGAATGCTAGGTATTATTTGAATGACTTGTTGGATACTTAAAACTCACAAAAATCAATGTATTGCATGCAGTAACACACAAGACATTTTTTTTTAGAAAAATAAGCAACAAAAAAAGTTTCCAAAGCAACAACAAAATCCTGGCAGGAAGAGGGACTTGATCTCACAGCTTTGCAAACCTAATGCTGGGCTTAAAAGGTAAACACCTGCTCAATCTTTATTAAACTGTGGCTGCTGCTCGGGGTCTGTCGAGATGGTCACTTTGGCTGATGCCTGTGACAGCCACCCAGCCTCAAAGGACACCGCCGTGAGGACAGGGGTGCTCTGTTCTCCCTGCAGGCTAGCTGCAATCTGAAGCCAGGACAGGGAGCTTTCTGGATGCTACTCCTGAGGTTAGGTGGCTCCCTTCCCCTGTGAGCGTGGCCAGAGCCCAGAGCCACCTCTCCCAGCTGGCTGAGGTTCGCAGCCCTCTGGTGGTTCCTCTCTCTGGGTTAGAGGTGACTTGGATGGCGCTGTCCAGCTCGGGCAGCAGACAGGAGCTTTCCAAAAGTGCGTCTCACTTGCAGGTGAAATTTTATCACTGGCAGCAAACTCGGCTGGTGGTTTTGACGGCTTTGACCACTCTGTGAGAAACAGCAGTGCAACGGTCTTCTTTCCTGCTGACCCACGAAGCCAGCGCCTGTTAGGCCAGCAGCTGCAGAAGGGCTTGTCCTAGACCTGCCGACCACCTCGGAAACCAGCCGTGCTCCTGCACATCTGCTTCACCCGAGGACTAAAGAGGCGGTCAAAAATGAACTCGAGGACATCCTTGGGTGGAAGCGGCATTTTTACTGCATAGCAGTGGAAAACAGGACAACCAAAAGTGTCTGGGGCCACCACCTGTATTCTTGCCGAGGCACCAGCAGTTTCACTCATGGCCAATTCGCACCTTCCATGTAAGGACGAAGCCGAGAAAGACAAGCAGTGTCTCTCATCATCACCAGGAAAACCGTCTTGACCTCACGGGGCCTTGGGCGGGTCTCCAGGCCACACTGGACAACCGCAGGCCGTGCCTTAGCCCCGGGGGACTCGGTTTCCTGCTTCCCCTCTCTCCAGGCCTCTTTAGTCCCCACTCCCTCCATGCCTAGGCGGCTGCCATTCAGCTCATCCACCCCTCCACTTGCAGTGGCTCACCCTGCACCTGTTCGCGCAGGCAGCCCTCCATCCTTCCCGCCACCAATGGGGTCTGGGCCCCAGAGGCAAACAAGGCCCCAAGGCTGAATCCACTCCCCTGCCCATACTGCCCTGAGCCAAAGATGGGTTTTATATCTTAAAGTGGTTGGAAAAACAATCAAAAGAAGAACAGCACTTCTTGATGCCAAAATCATATAAAACTTCAGGTTCAGTGCCCCTCAGTGAGGTTTTACTGAAGCCCAGCCACACCATGCTGTTTGTGCCAAGGAGCTGCCCACTTCCATCAAGACTCCCATGCCCCATGCAGAAAAAAATACTCGCACTCAGGGCACAGAAGTGAGCTCAACCAAGGCCTGGCTTCGCAGGCACGCACTGCACCACCTCCCAGCAGCCCTGCTCCCTGGCACTGTGTGCAACCCTCCTGGAGCCCTGCGCACTCATGCCCAAGCGGCCCTGTGCCCTCCCCTTAAGGAGACCTGGCACAGAGGACAGACCCCACAGCCCAGCCTGTTCTCTGCTTTTACAGCTACTGCTGGGCTAGGAGTTGGGCCCTGGCTCCTCCCTGGACTGGTGCCCTGCAGCAAGGTAACAGTCAGTTCTCCACGGATGATGACTAACCTGAAACAGAGACTAGATTTTAAACCAGCAAACAGCACAACACCCAAGCCAGCAGCTTAAAGGATGGTCCTTTACAACACTGTACACTAAATTGCCCAAGACCAGTCCAAACGCTGTTTGAAACAACCTCCAATAGGAAGACGATCAAAGAGGAGACGCAGCCCTCTTCAGACCGGACCCGCATTAAGTACGCAGGCGCACGCGCACTCACACCACGGAAACAAGTTCCAGGCATCCTACACAGCCCCTAGCTACTAAGGGGAACATTCTTTTCCACTATATTCTTTTTTCTTGCAGTGCTGGCCATGACTCACTAAAGTGATCAGAGTTTACACCTAAAGTTTGAAAAGCCACAGCGCCTCTCAAAGTGAAGCTCACTTGGAAAGAGCACCAGGCTCTCAGCCCTACCCGGGGTGGTGGGAAGCGCCAGGCCAGCGTCTGGACCCCCGCTGGGTGCCAGGCTGCCGCGCCTCCACTCCCAGGACGGAACACCCTCCCTCCTCACGGCCAGAGTGGCAACACCCAGAGGCGAGGGCAGGGGCTCCTGCCCGCCAGGAGAGCGCCCCAGGCCCGGCAGGTCTCCCGCTTGCTTTGTTGCCGTATCTGTGCCCAATCACCTCGCACCACACTGGGCAACGAGTCACAAACATTAACAAATAGTGTGAAACCATTTCCCACTGACACACACTGAGAAACACTGGCCCTGAAACTGCAAGCCTGAAGCTGGGCAAACACCTGTCACCCCAGCTAGCAGGGCAGGGGGGGTCTCCAATTCAAGGGCAACTTAGAGAGTCCCTGCCTTACCATTTAAAAAAAGTTTAAAAGGCTACGAGAGCCGGACGTGGTGGCGCACGCCTGTAATCCCAGCACTGACAAAGGCTGAGGCAGGCAGATCGTTGCAAATTCGAGACCAGCCTGGGCTACAAAGTGAGCCCAAGGCCAGCCTAAACCACATGGTAAGACCCCGTCTCAAAAAATAAATAAATAAATAAATAATAAAAGGGTTAAGAATGTAGCTCAGTGGTAGAGAATCACTGGATTCAATCCTCAGTATCACAAAAAGACTGAAAAATTCATAGTGAACATTGCAAATTACCCAAAATCGTTTACAAGAACGTCTAATTCTCAATAAAATATCATTGCAACGTAATACAGCAAAATTACAACACCTTACGGGATGGGAGAAAAGCTACCACAATTCACAAGATAATGTACAAGAGGAAGTCCC